AATGGTTAGTACATCTTCCAATTTCTCTTGATCATCGCGAATCGCCAAGAAATCAAGAGTAACATTCACGAATATTCCTCTGAAACTTTCCGATCAAAGAAACTGGTCGAAGGGTATCCCGTCGCTGGGAATACCAGCAACTATCGAACTATGGCGCGTACCAGCCGAGTTTCTTTTCGAGCGCAGCTCTCCCGCGTACGCGAGCGCAAACCCGGAGGAAAGTGATGTATCCGGTGCAGATGTGACACGAATATTTCCGTATTACCGTGTCTCGATTGGTCGAGACCCCGTCGCGCCCGAGAATTCCTTCGGCTACGTCACAGGACGCGAATTACGAACGCGGAATGCCGTATTCTTTATTTCTCCCCCTTTTCTTTTTCGACGGAATGCAAATTTTTCTCGCGTTCCGGAATCTCCGCCGGCCTTCGCTAACCCCGGGCTACATTCGTTTCGACCCATATTGCGTTTCGTCACACGGATGGAATCTAGCGCGGTATTTCGTCCCCTGAAATTGATTTCTGCGAGCTCGTTCGCGGTACATCGCTGAACGATCTAGAATATTTCTTATCCATGACGAACGTCGCAGACATTAAAGTCCTTATAGTAATCGTTAGACTGCGGATCTTTATGCAAAATAAAATATATATATATACAGGGTGTCCCAAAAGTATATATATACATGTCGAATTGAGTAACCTCCTCCTTTTTCGAAGTCGGTTAATCAAATCATGGCAAACGTGTTTACAAAAACTGAGCCTAAATAGGAATTCATTTTACTCTGCAAATATTACAACATGAACTTTACATTCAATCTTTTTTACATTCTTTGCATTTCGCATTTGCAGTCTGCATTTCGTAGGCTCTTGTGCATTCAAATTTCCTATAAACGCATGAATTTCTTTTATCTCACCTCGAGAACAAAGTCAAGCCGAATAGCGTGCCCTCCTCGAAATAAGCACCTCGCCGTTCCCGACCGGGTTGCTTATTCCGAGACGATACCGTAATCGTATCAGTCACCGTTCCAGCCATCGTAGTTGCAGCATTTACCTGTACCCGGCTAAGAAGTCGCATTACGACTCGACGTCAACGACTCTCGTCTCATTTCGCGACGAACCGCGACAGTATTGGGTCAAGAGTTTCTGAATAGTTCTTTTCAATGACAGAGGACGGTAGGACCGTGTCAATGGCACTCGACGTTTCCTCGCGATGAAACTCTGTACCATTCGATCCTCTCGCAATAACGAAGTGCATCTTGCAAACGCTCCACTCTTATATCCACTCTTGTATCCACTCTTGTATCCACTCTTATATCTACTCTTTATCAGATACGATAAAAGAAAAGACACGCGTATATTTTATAGATTCGTGCGAAGAAGATGACGATAATCGCTAATTATTTACCCTGCAACGGAAGTAGAATAGTAACGAAGAAATGTGAAAAAGATCACAAGTGGGCCTTACTCGGCGATTCTCGTTGGCCCCAGTGGCGCCATCTATGGCCCAAGAACTCCTTATTTGGTCCTCCTCGTATACGAATCCTCTATACCCGCTCTTGTAACAAAATTTTATTTTCTATTCGATTCCTACCAACGAAACAATTCGTCGATCCCATTTCTTCGTTTAAAGTTTCGCGCAAACGATCGTACCTGCTTCTCTCTATTCCTCAATTATAACAAATCTTTAAACAAATCGTAAAATCCGTTCTCGAAGCATTCCCACGGAAATATTGACCCAATTCGGCCGTCGTCGATCCGATCGCGCGCGTATGACGCGACGTCGGCGTCGTGACTAAAAAGAAGAAAGTAGAACAAAGTGACGGGTGTTTGTTTCATTCGCCGCGTCTGAATAGATAACAGAAAAATCCGTGGGGGCGACCGCTGTCATACGGGAGTTTTTATATCGCCGTCCAGAACTTTCCGATTGCGTCCGCGAAAAAACGAGTGGTCGTAAAGAGACGGATTTTCCGTGGATCCCGGCGAATTTTATAACGCTGGGAGGGGGGGAGGTGGGTGGAGGGGGGAGGGGAGGGGGGAGAAGAGGGAACGAAGATCCGTGTAAGCACGTTTCCCTCTTGAGTTCTTACCAACTCGTAATACACTACGCTTTTATGTCTCGACGTTTTATTTGTCTAAAAATGACGCGGCGCGATCGTCGTGTACGAGAGAGTATAAAATTCGAGCATAAATTTTTCATCGGTGTACCGGTGGTACGATGTTCACGGATCGACGTGGGTGGATCGAGTCTCGATAATGTTAATAAAACAGTTCTTTATTTGACATTCGGACGCTCGAACACTCGACAATAATAATAATAATGATAATGGTTTAAGAAAAAAAAAAAAAAAACAAAGAAAAAAAAACACTTACTAGGTCGATCGCAAACGGGCGCAACTTATCAGTTTCGAACGACTCTGAAACCAGTTGCACGCGACCGTGGATTTAGGCGAAACGAAGATAGTGGAGTAGGTGGAACAAAAAGCGGGGAAAAAAAACCGGTTTGCAACACTAATTTCAAATCGGTTGCTACTTCAATCTTTGTTCTTGGTCGATGCTCGAGGAATTGAAGGCGAGACATTCGACGCGATTCAACGAGAATCATTTTTAATTACCTTGAGAAATTCGCGAGGTCGTCTGCGACGGGATCCGCATAGTCACGGAAAATCTCGAAATAAAAATGATACGATAGCGACGAATGGAACGCCGAGTCTCCTATCGTTGCCCAACGATAACCGAAAATCGTTTACTTTTACGGGGGACGCGTAAGACGAATACTGCATTATTTCGCGGAACGAGGTAGCATAAAGGGGAGCCAGTAAACGGGGGAACGACGTCACGGGGGATGAAGCTATGATGAAAAGTGGCGAGACGACGAGTAGTATGACGACGAGTAATACGACGAGGAGGAGGCTCGCGCGACCCTAAAACGCAAATGCGTAGATGAGGCCAGGGATGCTCAACGGGGTGCATATTGGCACCTGCAGCGTGCATAATTAATCGTGTCTCGAGGATGCACGGACTGGCATTTTATCCGAGGTTTTACCTTAGCTGGAAAATATGACGGGGAATTTTTAATTAACGCGCGAGGTTAGACCTTTGAAATTGATCCGATTTTTAGGTAATTACGTTCAGTTTAGATGAGCAATTTAATTACGAAAGCTACGAAATGCACGCGGTATACGATAAACATAAACAAATATTAAAAGTAGAGTTCGTATTATAATACCTGCAATATAAAATACATTTATGTACAAGTTCAATTTCTGTAGGTATGTTTTGCCATGATTCTACTTTTAGGTAATTAGGTTCAATTTAGGTAGGCAATTTAATTACGAAAGCTACGAAGTGCACGCGGTATACGATAAACATAAACAAATATTAAAAGTGTAGAGTTCGTATTATAATACCTGCAATATAAAATACATTTATATACAAGTTCAATTTCTGTAAGACCTAACTAATGTTTGCCATGATTCTACTTTTAGGTAATTAGGTTCAATTTAGGTAGGCAATTTAATTACGAAAGCTACGAAATGCACGCGGTATACGATAACATAAACAAATATTAAAAGTGTAGAGTTCGTATTATAATACCTGCAATATAAAATACATTTATGTACAAGTTCAATTTTTGTAAGACCTAACTAATGTTCCGCAGTGATTCTATTTTGCATAGAGATCACCAGTGTACGAATTAAACAATAACACTCGAGAGAATCACCTGTGATTCGTCCGCAAAGAAGAATAGAACTCCAAAGAGCGAGAGGAAGAAAGTTGAGAGATACTGTGCTAGGGGAGAACTCGTCGAAACGACTGATCCTCGTCCGCGTTTAGTCTTTGCGACTCGTATTTGGATCCCTTGTCCACGAATCGATACACCGTCGGTAAACGTTATCGTTCACGATCATCCGCCAATCCGACAGGAACGATGAGATCGTTGGCGTGGAACGACGTAGCGACGCAGAAAGGTTGTTCGGAAGATCTATTTGCGAGGATGTTCGTCGAGGAGGGATCGAGAGGAATCGATCGAATCTCCGAGAGCGGTTAGCCTGAGGCGCTTTAGACTCGAGTCGTTATACTTGAACTTTACGAGGATCGTTATCGAGTATATTAGGAACCGAACGAATTAATTTAAACGTTTAGAGAAAGTTGCGCAAAAACGGGCCACAACTTTCATTTTGGTACCCACTGGTTATTCCATTCACTCGAAATGGATACGATGATTAGTTCGTTGCAACGTGAATTATATTCACGCGTTTTCAAACAATGGAATCGTTCCATGTGGTTCCTCTGTTCCCAGCAAATTTCTATACATTGATCGAGCCAGCGTACGCACGCGCAACGTTCCCTCTATAGTTATGGAAGAAAACGACACTTTCTAATACCGTCCCCCGCATCTTTACTCTGGAAACACCCTGTATTCGAATCAACATTTCGGACAAGAAGATTTCCCCCAGTTTCGAATATCCAACCCCTTCGATTCCAAGTATTTCGATTAATTTGCACTCACCCTGAATATTGCTACTTTATTTCTCAAAGCTCCATATTTAATATTTATAACGTTCATTGTTCGATACTTCGGGCCCTTCTCAAAAATTAACCAATCTCGGAAAAGGTCCGTTGGAGTTAGTTTATGGCTCGAAAGAGAAAGTCAGCAGACCTTGTTCCGAGACGATAGGGCACCGATAGTTTTCGTTTCGTTTTTCCACGTTTGACGTCGAAATACTCGGTTCGATCGTAGTCTTCTTGAGAGCAACGTCGCAGCTCCTAACAACTCCTAACTCTAAAAGGGTGTCTCATAAAAGTACCGAGCGACTGAGTAATAATTCTTTTCGAACCCCGATAACCAATATTCATCGATCGAACGTTCCCGGCGATCGACGAATCGTTTGGAAGCGCGGACGATGAACGGGGCGAAAAACTCTTACCGAATCGAAACAAACGGGTAGTAAATCGTGCCGAGTGTCGCGGACAGTGGCAAAACCCGCGGCTTTCGCGTGATTCATAGGGACAGCCAGCGAAAAGCTCGAGGGAGATAAATCGTTCCCGGCGATTTCCATAACACCGTGATCGCCCCCGCACGCAAACCGGTCAGCTGGTTTAAAATTAACCTCGACTTGGTTATATTTACAGTGTTTTCGCGTCTCTTCACCGAGCCATTAGAGATACACCTGCTGGCCCTGTCTGGGGACAGCGGGGGAGGATCCACTGGCAACAATGAGACTACTTTTTTTAATTAAATAAACCAGTAGATCGATCAATACCCCTACACGTTGTATTTTCGAATTTGTATTATTAAAATCTTCAAATTATACGTTCAACGTTTGCTCCGTTGATACTGTGATCGATGAAACTACTTTCTTGTAATTAAATAAAGGTAGATCGATCAATACCCCTACACGTTGTATTTTCGAATTTGTATTATTAAAATCTTCAAATTATACGTTCAACGTTTGCTCCGTTGATACTGTAATCGATGAAACTACTTTTTTTAATTAAATAAAGGTAGATCGATCAATACCCTTACACGTTGTATTTTCGAATTTGTATTATTAAAATCTTCAAATTATACGTTCAACGTTTGCTCCGTTGATACCGTAATCGATGAAAATTGTAATAAATTTATTTTATAGTGATTCTACCGAAAAAAACAGAATGTTTTTCTTGAATCGACGAGAGAGCCGTTTGAAATTCGATTCTCTGAAGATCTGGGCAGGATCGAATCAAGACGGTATCCATGAATCCCGTTTAACGAGACAAGCAGGATGACAGTGATTCGAAATGGTACAGCCCCTTTGATCAAGAATATATTTCGGCAATTAACGAAACCTATTTCCGTGACTGTTCTAGCGTTCCTAGAAGGGTAGCGGTATATTTCACTTTTATAGCGAAATGGCGAAAATAAGAACGCTATACGATCCCACCTGATAAAACAAACCCGGAACGAGACAAAAACAGACCGATACGTTTCTCTCGACGGTGCTTCCTTAATTAAAGCGCTGTATTACTCCGGGGCAATCTTGAGTAACGTTTCTTTTTTTTACAAAAATAAGCAAATAACCTTGCTTAGAAAGAAATAGGAAAATATCTTATTATTTTATATTATACTTTACGTTACTTTGCTTGCTCGCCGTGCACCGATCTACTTTATCAACAGATTAGAACGAAACGGTCTTCGGGAAGTTCCATCGATCACACTTTTCCGAAAAACTCTAACGATAACGCTCCCACGATATAAATTCTACCTCTTGTTCATCGAATAACGGATCAACAGTCGTTCGTCTTGCATTCGTTTCTCGAAATTTCGATCTAGATAAGAATCTCGTCGTTCCGCGGATCTAGGTTAGACGACGTATAAAGAATTAAGTACAATACCGACGTTTTATTGAATCTTTATGGTAATCAATGCTGGAAACTTCCGAATGGCTCTCGCGTTGTATCGGGGAGCCACTTTATTCGACGAATTATATCCTGGTAGCGCCAATATCGGCTTCCGATATTTATTGCTGCTAGATGCACAGTGTGCCATTTTACGGATTCAGCTTACATTTGTTTCAGAACAAAAACAACCCGTCGAGTTGCTACCTTAATTAACGAAATTGATGCTTGCAAATTAGTAGCAAACGAAATTCATTTCTGGTTAGGTCTGCTTTAGGCTCGTTAATTTTTAATTAGATCTGCTTCAGGTCGTGCAATTTTCAGTTAGGTCTCCTTTGAGTCCACCAATTTTTTTTAACCGACTTCGAAAAGGTGGAGGTTACTCAATTCGACATGTATATATATATATATATTTTTTTTTAGTTAGATCTGCTTTAGATCCACCAATTTTCAGGTAGGTCTCCTTTAGGTCCACCAATTTTCAGTTTGGTCTCCTTTAGGTCCACCGATTTTCAGTTAGGTCTCCTTTAGGTCCACCAATTTTTAGTTAGGTCTCCTTTAGGTCCACCAATTTTCAGTTAAATCTCCTTTAGATCCACCAATTTTCAGTTAGGTATGCTTTAGATCCACCAAATTTTTAGTTAGGTCTCCTTTAGGTCCACCAATTTTTAGTTAGATCTGCTTTAGATCCACCAATTTTCAGTTAGGTATGCTTTAGATCCACCAAATTTTCAGTTAGGTCTCCTTTAGGTCCACCAATTTTTAGTTAGGTCTCCTTTAGGTCCACCAATTTTCAGTTAAATCTCCTTTAAATCCACCAATTTTCAGTTAGGTATGCTTTAGATCCACCAAATTTTTAGTTAGGTCTCCTTTAGGTCCACCAATTTTCAGTTAGGTCTCCTTTAGGCCCACCAATTTTCAGTTAAATCTCCTTTAGATCCACCAATTTTCAGTTAAATCTCCTTCAGATCCACCAATTTTCAGTTAGGTATGCTTTAGATCCACCAAATTTTTAGTTAAATCTCCTTTATATCCACCAATTTTCAGTTAGGTATGCTTTAGATCCACCAAATTTTTAGTTAGGTCTGCTTTAGGTCCACCAATGTTCAGTTAAATCTCCTTTAGATCCACCAATTTTCAGTTAGATCTGCTTCAGGCCCACCAATTTTTAGTTAGGTCCGTGTTAGGCCTGCACAATTTTCACGCAATCGGTACAGCAAAGCCAATTCGCTGAAACAGGCGCAACGGTACGAGATATCGGTTCGTTAGGAATCTCATCGTGGAAACGTGGCGTTCGTAATCTGAACGATCGCTGTTTTAATGGCTCCGTTCGAGGTCGAGCGTGTCCTAGAAAACGTTGCGTGAGCAAACGTGCGAACCGGCTTACCTGGGAAAGCAATCATCGCGTCTAGACACGCCGAAATGTTCACTTTCGTATCGGTTCACCCGGTGACCGCGACATTTTCACCTCCTCTTCGCTATCTCGCGTGCAGACGGCCGCTTCCGGTTTCGCGTACGAACCCTGACCCCTCTAGCATCGCGAACGTAACCGTTCGGTTTGAATAACGTCGTATACACGGACTACTTTGCTTTGGGCTGTTGCAGAGACCTAACGAGCAACAACATAACAGACATTCCAGTCCGTGCCTTCCATCGAATTTCCAGTCTTGAAGTGTTGTAAGTACGCGAATATATGTACAACCTTTTGTTAACCCTTTGCACTCGAGGTCTTCCTTTCTGGTATCTACCAGCAACCGTTTCTTAACATTGCCATGAATTCTAAGCTATCGAGATTCGAGAATAAGGTCGCCTTTACCTCGCCGATAATTATTTTATCGACACTTCGTGCACTTCGAAGAAATGAAACCTAAAGAAACGTTAGGCACTGTATATTTACTGCGTGAAACCTAACGGCGACCGAGAGTCGTCTTTCGACTGCAAAGGGTTAACCGAGCGTTTTTTCTTCCTACAGAAACCCTCTGATCTTCCCTCTGTTCCAGATTACTCCGACGAAATCGTTTGCACACGATCGCCGACGATGCATTCACAAACTTAACGAGCCTTCGAGTATTGTGAGTGTTTTCGCACAAAATCGCACAGTTCCTTAAAAAAAAAAAAAAAACAAAAATTAGATCGTTGCTTGAGAGCGAACGGAGGCCAGATCCGTTACAAAAAATAAAAAAAAAAAAAAAGATTGAAAGGGATCACGAGAAGTGTCCGCGATTGTTAAATGTTGTAATTCTGTCTGCTTTGTAGGGAGCTCGATGACAATTATTTAACAAAAATTCCGACCGCGATCGTAAACCTCTCTGGCCTTGAAGACCTGTAAGTGTGCATCGATTAAGTAAAATGTAATTTGACAACTTTTTTTTACATTCTACGAAACCACTCTTCCTATGTCGAGTCGCGTCCAATCGTCGTCGTCGACCGGATCAATTTTTCGAAATTCTTACGCTTAAAACATCGCCAACTGCTACTTAAAAAAAAAAAAAAAAAAAAGAACCAGAAACCATTGAGAAATCTAGATCTTGCGTGGCGACGGTTAAAATTCTAAACTCGTCGAAATTGCGGTACTATAAACCTTTGCGATCCAGATTTTCTAATTTTAGGGTCGCAAGGGGTTAACGGTCCATCGATGTCGTTCGACGGAATGTCTCTTTCCATGTTTTGTTCGTTTTCACCGAAAGCTTGGGACATCGAGACAATCGTATTCGTTTATGTTCCGTCCGATTCCGCAGGTCCCTCTCCAACAACCGCATCGAGACCCTGGAGGAGCGCGCCTTCCAAAGCGCTGGCAATCTGCTGTCCCTCGACCTGCGCGGGAATCCCATCAAGGAAATACACGGGAACACCTTTCGAAACCTACGGAAGCTCCGCAAGCTGTACGTTCGCACCCAAACTTCTTGAAAGTTAAAATATCCTCTTGACTCCGTTTCGTTTTAACACGTTTTAAATTGATTTTATTCTGCAAATAACACGAACTTTACTTTCAATCTTTTCTATGTTCTTGCATATTGTTTGCATTTTGTAGGTTCTTGCACATTTAAATTTCCTATAAATGCACAAAGATCCGCAGTCTAGTGACGAACCAAAATGTTAGACGAATAAATCAATGAACGTTGCAGGATCCTCTCGAACTTGAAGGAGTTACGAACGTTTCCAAACCTGAACGGAACACGATCGTTGGAGATACTGAGGTTGGACCGTGCCCAGGTGACCAACGTACCGGCCGATCTTTGCGAGCAGTGTCCAAAATTGAAAAGTCTGTGAGTAAATCCTTCGATTCGTGGATTCCTCTACTTCGAATCGCTCTACGTCAAATAAAATTCCTCTCGAAATTCCAGGGACATGAAGTCGAACTACCTCACGGACCTACCCGACCTTCGAAACTGTAGTGATCTGCGCGTCTTGTAAGTATCAGGTCGTCCGAAAAGTTTTTCTCGTGAGTTACACACAATTATTTTCTGTGGAAGTGTTTCTATAAATAGACGATCTAATTTCTTAGACATTGATGCTGTAACAGTAATGAAGCGAAACGAATCGTGCACGATTCAGTAATGTAACATAAACCATAAAATATTGTGTATATATTAATTATTAATAAAACGAAAGAAACTTTTGGGACAACCTAATATATGATATCTGTCACGGTGGTATTCACTAATGCGTTACCCACCCCTGATGAGCGTATCAAACTTACCAAGTATATCTCCTTCAGAGATTTGGCCAGTAATCAGATCTCCTCGTTGCTGGACGAGCCGTTCCAAGGACTACGTATGCTGCACGACCTCCTCATCTCCAACAACAAGCTGCGAGTCATCTCCGGCGACGCGTTCGTCGGCTTGCCGAGGCTGCAGGTGCTGTAAGTGTCGTCGCTTGTAATTGATAGCGCGAAAATGGCTCAACGCTATCGTCTTGAAAAAGATGGTTCGTTGTTTCAGAGACCTGGAGAGCAACTACATAGAGTACATACATCCCGACGCGTTCAAGGAGACCAAGCATCTGGAGGACCTGTGAGTATCAGGACCCGTTCGCCTTCGAGTCAGAGAAAGTTGCCGAACAGATTGATGAACGCGAGATTTTTATTACTCCGTTGCTCGAAAGTGTATCATTGGTAGAACAACGTAGGCTGCAAGTAGAAAGTAAAAAAGGTCTATTGTAGAAGTCTAAACGAAAAATAAGGCACGGGGATTCGAAGCCACGATCCTCGGATCCACGGTCGACCGCTTTACCTACATGACCGATCCCGTACCCTACGGTTCGTGTTCTTATTGGACTCCTTATTGTTGGGTACGGGAGGCGCGGATACTACACTATTGTCCGCGAGGTCGTACTTTCTCGTGCGCGAATAGTGGAAGATTTAGGTAGGTCTCGGAAGATGCATCGAGAATACGTGGGAACGTAATTAATCGGGGATTTAATTGGAAACGCTCTGTACTAACCCTTTGCAGTCGAGAGGTGACTCTCCGTCACCATTAGGTTTCACGCAGCAAGTCCCTACTGTTTCTTTATGTTTAATTTCTTTAGAGCTCGTAGTGTAAATAAAGTGATTGTTGGCGAGATAAAGGTGGATCTTATTCTCTAAACTAGATAGCTTAGAATTCATGGCAATGGAATGCTAAGAAACATCTCGAGTGCAAAGGGTTCATAAGCCTCCTCTGCTTGCAGAAATCTCGGGAACAACGTGTTCCCTGCCCTGCCAACCTTGGGACTCTCGGGGTTGCTGCACCTCAAGACCTTCAACAACCCAGCGCTCAGAGAGTTTCCCTCGCCCGATAGATTTCCGCGCGTCCAAACGATGGTGCTCTCGTACGCCTATCACTGTTGCTCGTTTCTCTCCATGGAGGTGGAGGACCCGGTGACCAAGTCCTCCGTCCAAGAGTCGATCTTGTTCCCCACTGACAACGAGTTCGACATGAGTCTGTGGAACTCGAGCTTTTCCGATATATGGCCGCAGCACAGTAAGTAGAGCAACCAGCAGGTCCTCCTGTTGAGACTCGTGAAGCTTTCGCGTCTCGTGGTTGATACTCTTCGAGTGGTGCAGCACCACCAATGTACGTGGCATTACCAATGGTCGTTAAGTATCAGCCAGAGATTCCTCCGTTTTGAATCGTCGTCACTAACCATCGTCACCTAACACTCTTCATACACGGTTCAAACAGCTTTCACGAAAATAATTCTTCAGTAATGTATTTCATTCTGCTTTATTTCCGTAAGAGGAAGACACTTAAGTACCGTCTAGACGCAAGATCGTTTATGTTATTCGTGCGCGAGAATCAGCTGTACAGGTCTACAGGAGTACAGGAACCCTTCTTTATTCTCGGATCTTTTAGTCGCTACACATCAGCGGCGAATCCAAAAGACTCTCGAAAAGACCAAAGCTTAACGTCTGATGAATGAAAACGTCACTCGAACCTGAAATGATCGTTTTAGAAAATATTCCGTAAAAGTTGAAAGAATCTTTCCGATTCGCCGGTATCAGTGATTCGAGTCGCGGCTCACACTCTCGCATTAGACCACCCGAGCGACCGTTCGATCATCGAAAAAAAAAAAAAAAAAAAAGAACGACAGAATGAAACTTTGCAGGACTGAAGTGATGACGTTTGTTTAGATAACATGACCGACAAATTCGGCTCGCAAATAAATGAACTTTGGGCTAACTTTGGTTCAGATTTTACGTACCCTGGTAACCTGCCCTCATATGTTGAGGATTATTTTGAAGAGCAGAACAGCCGAGCTACGCTGCCAGCTCAGACACTGCCTTCTCACGTTCAGTGCCTACCTCAACCTGGTACGTTTCCCATTCCCCTACTTCTCTTTCTCGAGATTCCAGAGCATCGTTGTTCGACGAAAGGTGCTTCAAGGTTCTTTTCTGCCGCCTTTAGGTCCCTTTCTGCCGTGCCAAGACCTATTCGACTGGTGGACGCTCCGATGCGGCGTATGGGTGGTCTTTCTGCTCGCGATGCTTGGAAATGGAACGGTGGTGTTCGTATTAATATTCTCCAGGAGCAAAATGGACGTCCCGCGATTTCTGGTTTGCAACTTGGCCGCCGCGGACTTTTTCATGGGTATTTATTTAGGTCAGTGGACAGAAATATCTTGCTAGTCATCATTAAGAGAGACGCCTTGCACGAATTCGTGGATGCTCGGCTGTAATAGCGAAGAGAAAGGATACTCGAGTCTCGGAGATGTAAACGCCCTAGACTCTAGCGTCCAAAAAGGACCAAGAATCGAAAATATAATAATTGCTAACGTTGCTTTCAGGTCTCTTGGCAGTGGTAGACGCCTCCACCCTTGGGGAGTTCCGAATGTACGCCATTCCTTGGCAGATGTCCGCCGGATGCCAGCTGGCCGGCTTCCTGGGTGTTCTGAGCTCCGAGTTGAGCGTTTACACCCTGGCGGTGATCACTCTGGAGAGGAACTACGCCATAACTCACGCGATGCACTTGAACAAGCGGTTGTCGTTGAAGCACGCGGGCTACATAATGACAGTGGGCTGGGGCTTTGCTTTGGCGATGGCTACTCTGCCTCTGTTCGGTGTCTCGGACTACAGGAAGTTCGCGATATGCTTGCCGTTCGAGACGAACGGCAACGCTGCTCTCACGTACGTGATCTTCCTGATGCTGATCAACGGTGTAGCCTTCCTGATACTGATGGGATGCTACCTGAAGATGTACTGCGCGATCAGGGGTTCCCAGGCGTGGAACTCGAACGACTCTCGCATAGCGAAGCGAATGGCGCTGTTAGTGTTCACGGACTTTCTCTGCTGGTCCCCCATAGCGTTCTTCTCCCTGACGGCCACCTTCGGATTGCAGCTGGTCTCCCTGGAACAGGCGAAGGTGTTCGCCGTGTTCGTACTACCGTTGAACTCCTGCTGCAATCCGTTTCTATACGCGATCCTGACCAAGCAGTTCAAGAAGGACTGCGTGCTGATATGCAAGGCGATCGAGGAGTCTAGAGTGACTAGGGGGATCGGCAGATGCCGGCACAGTTCAAATTTCAGCAACCGACAGACCCCGGTGAACACTAACAGCCTGGTGGACAGGTCCTCGCGCGACAATCAGACGCCCTGCGCGTGCAACGCGAGACTATTGGAGACCGGACAGTGCTCCGGTTACCGACGATGGGGCACCAGAATACTGTGGCCATGCGCGAAGAACCCTCGGCCGCGTCACGCGCGCAGCGACCAGTACGCTTACCAGATCGCGGAGATCCAACAGAAGCAGCACAAAAGAGCCTCCTCGGTCTCCTCCAGCGAGAACTTCTCCTCGTCGAGATCGGACTCTTGGAGGCAGACCCACCATTGTGGAATCCCGTTGCGGCTGCTAGACCCCAAAAGAAGGGCGTCGTCCTGGCTGATCACCAGGAAACCGTCTCAAGACTCCAATCTCAGTTCGTCTAGAAACGACTCGTCCGGTTCCGCCACCACTGCTAGCACCAGCACGTGGAGGATATCCAGATCTAGCGCGTCGTTGGAGATAAACGCGCGGAACACGCCCAGACCGGCCAGGTCGAAGCCAAGACTGACGCGTCAGCTGGCGATCCAGGAACCAGAACCACCGGGATCACCTAGCAGACTAGCCGTCAGGCTACTCGCCACGATACCCTCCGCGGCAGAGACCAGCGATCAGCAGGACGACGAGAACACGCCACAGAATTAGAGATATTGCGTACGAGTGCGTGTGTGTATGCCACTGTGTGTATGTGCGTATACCTTTCAGGGATTAGTCGATCCTGAAGGATCGTAAGACCGGGTCTCGTTGCTCCTGAACGGTTTCAGTATTAGAAGAGTGGTAGTTGACGAGTGTGATCGCATGCTGGAGCTTTGGAGAAGCAAGGGACATTGGCGAAGAGAGGAATGTTATATCGTAAAATTACTCGCGCAAGTTTTCGTAGACATCGTAGACGGTCCAAGGCCAAGATAGCGAAAGACCAATCTACCTTTACTGACCGTCCGTTACACGCGCAGATAAGCGATTCGATTGCACCCTGAGGGTGTAATCGACGCATCCAATAGTCATATTTGTTAAATACTGCCAAGGATTACAGTGTCTCGGGAAACAATAGCCTATCGCAAGACTCGAATCCGTTGTTTACGAGAGACTGGTTCTGTATCTTTGTTTCAGATACGGTGAATCCCATTTTCACGTGACAAAATCAGCACTGCCAAGTTGCGGGGAATCCCCAGCACTGAATAAACAGTGTAATGATTCTAAAGTAATGATTCTATTGCTTGAGAGATAAACAATCGTCACTTGAAAACGTGAATCACTGTAAGAGACGAATCCAAGACGATGTCTCTCTTTGAAAAAGATGATTCCTAGACTGGTCAATTTTTTTAGTGGGTTTTAGCATAAAAGAGACCTCGAAGACCGTAAGTTTAAATCCGTGACATTGGAACTCGACGTTCTGTATAGTTTTGGATTAAGAATAGAACGATGAAGTATTTATTGATAAATTAAAAGGATACACGACGTGTTTGTTTTCTTTCTTTTCGCGAGGAAATCACTCGGCTCCGCCGCTGATGAGCGCTTCTATCGAAAAACGCGTGAACCGTTCGAGAGGAAATCTTCTGTCGCTAGATCAGTATTCAAGGAGGGATCCGTTGTATAATATTTCGATTGTTAATAGGTGCGTTTGCGTTATTATAAGACTGACGGTTTATACAATTCGTCCCGTAAACTTGTAACCGATTTCTAGCTGAAAATCGGGTCACGTAACGTACAGGGTGTCCTATATAAAATGTTACAAACGGTTTCCTTGGGAACTAACGAAGCTTAAGGTGGAAGGTGTTGTTAATTTTTTACTAGATTCAATGGACTTCCTTTTTCCTAACAACGACCGTTGTTAGTTTCTAAGAAAACGACTTGTGACATTTTGTACGACATACCCTGTATATGGTTCGCAACAAGTTCCGCAATACTAGTAATAAACGATTAATTCTCGATTAATTTATTGATTAAACGATGGTTTGTTCATCGCTACGGTGGTCGATAAATTCTCGAGTAAACTGTGATCACATTTAACAGAAATTTGAACATCTTTTGCTAACCATTTTATATATCGTATTGTACATAGAGTTATCGCAACGACATAAATATCCGAAAGTTTATTTATTACGAAGTGTGGAAAGATAATATTATACAGAACCGATGGGGAATATCAAACGTTGACTGTAATCGTTGAACAAATTACCCATGATTCATTTTTCTAACTACCTCTGCATTGTGAATACTTAAGGTTTTGAGTCTTATATATTTATTACATAACCGAAAGGATATGATTAGTATAGCTAAGCTCCGGCGAAACAACGTAACATTAATTTATCATCTATGAAAGTTACAATATCAATGCAAAACAACTGCCAACAAGTTAACGTACGTAATTAATCGTTAGTTTAATAGACGATACAGAATAATAGTTACTAGGAGTAATATCATTACAATTACAAGTTTTAAAGTTCATCTAGAATGTTAAAAACAAAAGCTATCGCAATGGCGAAGCTCTCTGAGAATTTATGGACCACCTTAATAATCGTGGAGATAAAAGATTCGCAAGTGCAGCTAAGTTAATCGATTGTTAGGTTACAGTTAGATCGTTCTAGCCTAAAAATTATTATAAGATCGTTATACAGGGTGGCACGAAAACTATCACCGCCAAAGTGTCCGAGTGTAAGAGAGCTATTGCGAAACACTAGCGCCAATAAGATGTAGCATAAGTCTTGTCGACGCTACTGTTTCCTTGTAGTCAATTCTGCAACATGTAACTTTTCTTAGAATCTCTTTCTAACTCTTGTCGCTCGTCTGTGGTATTTTGATGACCACCCTGTAGTGTGCAAATGTTTATACGCGGTAGAGACGCTTATAGTATTACCACTTACCGGACTCGTTCTGTTGTTGAATGCGTTGATTCGTTTCTTCGCCGTTTTCGTTGTTTTCACAGCAACCGTTTGCTGCATCCATTTTTTTTTTTTTGAGCGTCGTTTCGCCTGCTCGACGAACGCGATTTGCGTGTGTGTCCGAACCGAACTATTTAATAACGTTTTTCTAATAAAACTGTGCATTACGATAAAACAGGTTGTCGAAACTTCATTGTCGTCGTTCCTGTGAAACAAAAAGCGACTTGACGACGAGTAGCGATGGAACCGAGCGTATCGCAAACAGTGTCAACGCACGGTGGACATACTCGTGAGACTGAAAAGATAAAAACAAGGAGCCGTTTTAACAGCATTATGGGCTCCTCGTTAAATTTATCTCCTTTATTAAAACGGCACTGGATTGGAGTTGACTCTGCCGATTTTCTTCGTTGGAATTCCTTTATTTTTGAAAAATCTGTCTGTCGCGATACAAGGAAGGAAGACCTGTCTCGCTTTCGAAGCGGCGACCAACAATATAATAGTAATCATTATTTAAATACTTATCTAAAATAAATTCGACTTTGAATAGTTCAACGTGGTTGTCGCGAATACTTGTGTCCACTGGCCAAAAATATCAGACCACTTGTTGTCGTTCTCGAAATGATAACTTGGTAGTTGTTTGATAACGATAAATAACTGTCCTAACGGGTGTTTAGATGAAAAATAATCAGACAATGTGGTATACAATTTGTTCCTTTATTCGTTTGTTTTCGAGAAAAACTATCTTAAAGATTGGATGGGGCACGCCGTTGCGACGCCATTGCGACGCCATTTTGGAGAGCTACCAACGTTGTGCACATTCAAGTTGGTTTTTCTCGACGAGGAAGTAATATCGAGGTATGATCTTATATTTTTGGCCAGTAGCGTATATAAATATTCTGAAGTAACGTGTACCACTTTCACACTGTACATGCATTTTTACCTCTCTCTCTCTCTCATATATACACGCATACTCTCTCTTTCATTCTGTCTCTAACAATAATCAGTAACTCACTGTGATCTTACTGTTTAGGTTAGGACGCTACTCACCGATCCACCAAGGATCTCCCTCACTCGTGTTCAGTTTTCGCTTTTCGTAGGTACAGAAAACACTCAGAGTCCCAAAGAAACGTCTACTTTTTCAAACGAAAATCGTCGCGAACTCCGTGGACTGAATTATTTTATCGATTGCAGATGAACACGGTCCCGAAAGCGTAAGGATTAAAAGCAACGCCAGCCGCCAAACAATTTTTCGCAATCGGAAACAAGCTGCGATAATTGGTACTTAACGGGTCGATACGAAGTAAGACACTAAACGAAGCTGACACATTTTATTCTCATACATTTGTCTGATGTTCGCTCTGATTACACGTTCCTACACGCTGGTCTCTCCAATTATTAATTAATTCTTAATTAATTATTAACCGAGCCTAGAGAATCGTGTAGATACTTTCGATCACGTATTACGCGTGTACGTTAATCGAATTTGGTCCACGAAACTTCAGATTTCTCCGTCTATTGCTCTCTTGTACGATACACGTTCTTACATAATTTTCTATACGTAACAATCTTCCGCGAGTCGAATATTACACTTAAAAATGACAAAAACCGAGAGAACCTCTCGACGACGAGGGGATAATTCTTCAAGTTGCGAACAAGCTATTTCATTATCATTTTGAATATGTAAATCTTTGAAACGCTTTTAATAACCAATGTAATTGCTTGTTCCCTACGGGAAGAATTACTTTGTTACAAATTATTGATTTAGCACGCTGTCTTTCGGACAAGCTTTTATCTTTCATGGCAGAATAGAGGGATTTTAAGTTACGTTTGCGAAAGTGTAGGATGATACAATGCCCAATGCCTGAATCAGTCGATTTACTTTCCAGATCGCATAATCCCGCGGTTCGTTCGATCAGGCCCCTGAGATACAAATGTGTCAGTTTGCCAACTGGGAGAGAGGAGCGAACTAAAATTGTTAACCCGAACAATAAGAAGCCGGCAAAAGGAATGCGCGTCATCGCGTAAGAAACAGAGGGTTTGCACGTGCGAAAGACTATTGGCGCCAGTTTTTTTCTCTCGTAAACAATAAGCGTACTTCTGCTCGCGAGGTTACGTCTGACTCAGAATCGAACGTAAATTAAGAAATAAAATTTTGCATCGATCGAAGACTGCTAAAAACTGTGTAAATAAACTGATGTCAACAATGTCTGCATACGTGGAAACCCCGCGGAACGCTTCGGAGGAAGGTTAAGCTTCGTTCCCCGCGAAGGGTGGGGACGCGTATAGTCGCAATGGTCAACCAAATCCACTAATCTTAACCAGGTAAAATTGTAATACACGCCAACGTAACACATGAAACGGGTACATCGGGTAGCACAAGAGAAAATAAAAGCAGAAGTATAATCGTAGCTTAATGGTTCCCTAAGGGCGGTGCATCGTGCATCCAGGAACCGAGTAAAATGAAATCGGGTAACAAAGCGTTTGTGTGAATCCACCGTGGCTTCGGTTTCTCCTCTGAACATTGGCCAGGCTCGTTCGACTCTAGTCGTCCTTCGCTCGAGGAGAAACAGACCCACGGAAGTAAATCGTTGCGATGACTCCTAACAGAATTGCCTAGCGACTTTGCGCATCGTGTGACAACGTTGACGAAACTCGGGTAAATACTTATCACATTATCCCTTACACGTAGATACAAGTTTCAGAGAGTTCCAGCCTCACCGCGTTTAAGCTTCTACGCGTGTAGACGTATATATTTAAAAAAAAAAAAAAAAAAAGAATAGGATAAGAAACCGCTTTATCAGTGTCACTTGCCGCGCTGAGCGAAGAAACGGAGGGCGGGGGGAAGAGGAATCACGTAACATACGTAACGGGGAAGCAATAATAAGTTAATTCTAATTCTCTAATCTCTAAAAATGAAGTACAACAAGGTGTCGCGATACTATAGTATAGTTGGGATATTTAAAAAAAAAGTAAACGACGCACGAGTTAACCCTTTGCACTCCTGAAGGCAACTGCCCAGGCACTTAGAGTCGTTCTACTATAATTAATAAAATAAATGTAATATTCCCATTAAATTATGTTACTTCATATATACCTATGTTTAGTTGATATAAACTTAAAGTTCGAGAAAAGGTCGTAAAAACTAACAAATTGTCGAGATTCCTAAGGAACGAACTGTCCTTGGAGTTCACTACACACGCTTAGCCCAATAGCTTTGGAGTGCAACGGGTTAAAAGTCGGAACGCGACCATAAAATGCCTTCTCGAGTCGTGACGTTGTCTATTATACGGGGTAAGCACAATTTTCGTCGCGCTTTTTTCGTCTCCTTTCCGCGCTGTTATAATCCCCTGAGGTCCTGTTGGGATGTTCGGTATTCGAACGGCTTCGGAATCCGCCGACTGATATACACCTAATAATACTTGGAAGTCTCTTAATACAAATTCGTCTAAAAAAAGTGAGCCTTGGTAAACGTAGCCTTAGAAATTATTGCTTTGCAACGACGCACTATTTACAATTCCATCGGTCTTGATATAGTAAAGCTGCTGGACCTCAAAGGATTAGAGTCGTAGACTGATTATTGTACCTGGTGATCCCATGAGCGATGCCGAACAACGAGATACGTGGAAAAGGTTGAAGATGAGCTTTGCGTCGGTACATTCATGAAGTTAGAGACAACCTGAGTGTAACAAGATCCATCCTTAACCATGATTAATGAGTTGTGGATCTGATTTCGTCGCCAAATACAGAATTGTCTTCGAATATTTTCATCGTTCATGGGATTACCCGATAACGGTCGACGATCATCCTTATCGTATATGTTTTATCATCTACTTTTGAAACACGTGCTCCTATGGTGTATACATTTCGAATATTTTTACAAACGTATAAAAAGTCTGCGTTAGTCGTTGCGAAGACTCGCGCGACTTCTGGTCGCTTATTAAAACACTTTCGTTTAAAGTGTACGTTACATTTAATAGAGATGCTCGAGAAATAATTTAAAAAAGGAATATTCTTGGAAGCATAAAGGATTCGATAGAAAAAAAAGAATAAAACGAGACGAAAAATGTTTGCTACCGAACAGTTGCTACTAGTATCGTGGAAAAGGTGAAACCGAAAGCCTCGGTGCGTTAGATTTTGTTTCGGGGTCCAGAGCATATCTAAGAGGATCCAATGCAGGGATGGGCGATCGTCTTTGATAGTTTTTGATAAAAAGCTACCCGCTAGTCGGGATGGAAGAATATCACGAGTTGTCTCGCACGATGACACTAACGAATTGTCTTCCTAAGTGGAAAATGTTGCTTATTTGTCTTCTACGATAGGCTTAGGCCGAACGTCGTGTAAGAAAATGGATGATGAAATCATTTCGGTGGTTCGCGAGCAGTTTACTGGCCTTTGGAAGAATACTGACGGTGAAAAGGAGACGTCGAAACGAAAAAGGAATGAACTCGATAAATTGCTTCGTTGCTTCAGAGATGAGACTAATATCGCTACCAAACCGAAAGTTACCACTTTGCGCGTGGGAACTCTGCTCTAATTTTGCTACTTTAGAGAGACGCTGTAACGCTACAAGATATACCAAATAGAGATTCTTTTGATTCAGAGAGACGTTAGAGGAAGGTCTAGAACCTGAACACCTGCTGACCGTTGCAGGAACAATTGTTTATGGCTCAATGGAAGGAAGAGCAGGGAAAGCTTCCGCGAGCCAATGGAGTACAAGCTTAAGGGAGAAACTAAGAGGAACAGAGAGCAGCTTTGGATGGAAGCAGAAAGGGACGCTGCAAGGTAATCGCTAGAGTTCGTCGCCCACCCCTGAGCCAAGGTATTGTCTTAACTGAACAATTCGGCATCGCGAGCTTAACAATCTAGCTACCTAGGTCGGACATCGCTTTGGTGGTGTCTCGGCGAACCAGTCATTCGTCGGTTTACGTCTAAAAAGTGGACGAGGATTTGGCGAAATGGGGCACGCTAGGGCACCAAAAACATCCTATGCAACAGTAGCCGAGTGGAACAAGATCGTCGATAGAAACTCTGCCTCTTATCGGGGTCACTGTACAATCTCTTACGACCTCTACTTACCAACATACACTCCTCAACGTTATATAATACATCAATATACAGTTTATAGGGCAATAGTTGCATTCCCTGTATGTACAGAAGTTCTTGGCTAGAGCGAACTTGTGCAGCTACCCATGAACATCCTACGCAAACGATTAACGATCATTTTAGTCTTGGAACTAGATTCGTGCAAGGACTATCTATCTTCCTATGTTTACAGCGTACATAATTTTGATTGAATCGATCAGTTTTGATTAATTCGTCGGTATATTCGCTAAGAATGGCTAAGAATCGCAACAGTTCCACGACTAAAGTAGCTTTTAATAATTTCATGAGAGCAAGCAATCGTTCCATCCGGCTACGGGTGTCTCTCTATCGTATACACGTATGCGCCAAAGTGTGTACTGCCGACGGTATCTAATCGCTACAAATCAGTGATAAACCGGTTCTCGAATAATTAATTTGTTAAGTGTACGTCGCGGTTTACCAACTAATCGTAAGAGTTAGCGTTAAGTAAAAGGAATTAAACGAATGCACGATTATGTTATTGACTAGCGTGACGTGGGGCATCATCACGTGACTTTAGTTTTGTTCTTCCGGAAGGGAGGGAACTGGGGGAACTTCCTGCGTCTTCGTTTCAGCTCGTCGTTGTCGGTGGTGGAGTTCGAATCTGTTGAGAGCGTTTCGTCGTCCACGGACATCAACGTCGGCAGTTCCCTTAGGGTTTTTTTTTGGCTGACGGTATGGGTGGTCGGTATCGACGTCGTGGCGGTCGTCGTCGCCGCCGTCGACTGGCCCGTTTTCTGAACCGACGAATCCAACGAGTTCTCAGAGTAAGACGTCTTCGATAGGAATGCTGAGACAATCTTGTCCTCGGCGCCCAGGAGCATGTTGGTGTCCTGGCTGTAGGAACGAACGATTCCTGTCTTCTCTTTGTTGAACGGCTTCCCAGTCTCCTCGGGACCCTCGCCCACGGTGAAGTGCACCACGTTGCTCTCCGGTGGCGTCTCTTTCCCTGTTTCGCTGCTAGACGAGTCAGGTGGCAGCGACGACTCCTTCCATGTCAGGCTGTCCAGGGTACCTGCGGATCAGGATGTGAACGTCATCATGAAGCCGGGTACTCTAATACTCTAGTGGTTTCTCATGTGTTTTTTTTTTTTTTTTTGTTTGTTTGTTTTTAATCGGTTCTCTCTTGGTAGATCGACCTGGGCGATGACATTCACTGAATGAAGTTAACATAGTCTACCTCGTGTTTGGAAGTTAGTCCCTCCGCACCAGCTGCTCTTAGGAGCTAGGAACGAAGGATGCCTTCAGCCACCGTTTAAGTCAATAATATTTGTGTCTATGTTGGTGTTTATTCATTAAGTACGCTCAATTTTCTAACGTTGTTTCCTCTACAGATACGTTCGACTAGTAATTTCGAGATAACGTATTTTCTTACTATCGTTACTTTTGTTAGTCTAACTCTACTAGCAATCTTCATGCTTCTCCCATAAAAACCAATTCCATGCAAGATTTAAGTTTACTTTACGTGACTCTAATATTTAATTATTTGTTATTAGATAGGTGCAAAAGTAATTTCCCTTTTCTTTTTTTTTAACTATCGTGTAACGAACAGAAGCTAAACACTTGTTATCTTTTCCTCGTTGAATACAAATTGAGAACCGCGATACTTTAAAGACATTCAAGTGTTGCAAACAGATGTTTACATTTATATACATACATTCGTATTCGTTGCTTTTTATACTGAATTCTGAATTTATTATAACTTGCTAGAATATTATAAATACTACTGTTGCGTTGACGAAGAATCTCGAAAGAAGTACAAATTTCAAGAATTTGTCCGAGTTTAAAGGGACGATTACAGAATTCCAAGAGTATGGAATACAGATTATCAGACTTCGTTATCGTACTGGTATTTCCGTGTTATACGGCGATACAAATGATTATCGCATCCTGGAATGTGTAATCGATCATAGAGGAGACGTTCCCCGCTGCTTAGGTCATACAAACAAGGCTCAATCGTTTCTTGGTTTCTCGCATCTTGCTTGATTTATTAACTACGAACTATAAATTGTACACAATCAGGGACGGGTTAACATATTGCAGTATCAGAGACAGCGAATACAGACTCTTTGGTTTATCTTTTTATCTTCTACGTTCACGATGATTTCGATCATCGATCGCACGATTCGCAAGATCCCGAACAACGCTCGAGAATGTTGGGCCCCGTGTAAAATCCGCGGTCGAATACAGTCGAATCTAATTTTAATTGATTCTAATATTAATCGTGACGCACGCCGAATGCGTGTCCCCCGAGAAATAGAATTCGTTTCTTGGCATGATCGGTCGGCGACGATACATCCAACTAGACTCCCAGATATCAGAGATTATTGTTAAGCTATCGCGCTTAAGGGTAACGTTGAAAATTACTGTCCACTTAAATGTCGTCGGCATCGTGCAACTGGAAGTATTCGTACGAGAACTGATCCACGACGAAATACGTAATAGGTTGCCAATGAATTTGAATACCAATTCGAAAATATGATACGATTCTTTGCTCGAAATTAACCCTTTGGACTTGATTGGCTTCTCAGACTTATCCTCCTGATACTGCCTATAGTACAAAGGATTGACTCTAAAATCCATTCGCAAAGTATTTTATTCGTAGTTCCTCGAGGAACGTCCTGTACTGTCTTTCATACGCGCGAAGAAACGGTAGCTCCAGTAGCAGACAACGAGCCTAATCGTGCAATTAAAGAACGGATTCCGACGCTCGGTTCGCTTTAATTTGAACTATTAATAAGTGTTGTGCAATTGTTTTCTGCTGCTCTGGCAAAATGAAACCGTGCTCCTCGATGAAAAGAGAAAACGCTTTGTGGTCGGTCGATTCGACAAACATCACAACAATCCTGCTAAAGGAACTAACACGATAATACATTGATGTTTATTAGTAACGCGATAAAGTCGACGCTTATCGATAATACAGTAACAATTTGGGCGATTATCTTGGCACTTGGGCGATACCAATGCGTCGCCCACGAGTGGAAGAAGAAACTATAAATGAATTTTAAGATTTAACGTTCCCTCGGTTAAGGTCTTTCTCGGTATACGAAATTATATTTTTAAACTTGGACAGACAAGAGCGGTTACTTTTATTTGTCCCAAATTATAATTTTGAATATTGAAAAAACCTAGACCAGAGGTAAAAATATATATTTATGTATATACCGTTATTATTATTCTAAATAATAATGCTTGTACCGACTACAGATCAGTATAATCAAATATTATCGTAATTCGATCTGTATTATTAACAATGGCTTTCATAAAAATATCATCACATTTGGATCACTTCATCTATATTACTTTCTCTTTCTTCTTCTCTTTCTAAAAATGTTCGTTACAAAAATACTTATGTCATGCTTTCCTTCAAAGTATTAATCTAATTTCTTATGCTCTGTACGAATACGTGGTCGCGAAAAAAAACATCACGGTTTATCAGTGCAACAGTGTTACTACTTGTTAAATTGTACACAGTATACAAACTTATCCGTTAACAATAAGTTAAAAGATTTGTCGCTGTTTCCAAAGTAGACATGCTTCTATGCGAAACTTGACAAATCTCGGATTAGGAAAGGGGAACATTTCAATCGTAATCCTCCCTTTTCCTGCACATAGCCTGATCAAATAAATTTGATAGAAGACTGTTTTTTTTTTTTTTTTTTTTTTTTTAACGCTAAATATAATGTCATGTATCAAAGATAATTATATTTGATTTTCACGCGAACTCGAATCGTAGATATTTTCTCGATGCAAGGAGCATTTAATCGCAAACATTGCACTAACGTCACACATTACTTTGGTATGTACAGTTCATCTTAGAATTTAGTGACTTTTACGTAAAATATTATTTACTTTATGCATATATATTACTCCTTTATATATATATGTACTCTTAATAAATTACAGTTCCCAAATTTCGTAATTTTGCGATAGTTGAACGATTTCGACAGTTTTAAACTGTTTTATAGAAATGGTAAAAAACTTAGATCACGTTGCTCCGTTAATTTTTCTTCAAATCGGAAAGTGTAAGGCATAGAAATGTAAGGCAACGCGTGAATAGTGTTGTGCGCGTATTCGTATATCGATAAAACTTTTACTTCAAAATTTCTTGTAAAGAATTTGTACAGAACATTTCTATACAATTTCATACAAACGTCCTTAAGCTATTAATAGACTCGTTAAAAGCATGTTAGAGTTGAGAAAAATTCAGAATTCAATCTGTGCAAGTGTACGTGTAACAAGGAAATTAATCTCACAGAAAAAAAGAAATACAAAAACAAAATTACTACTAGGAAGACAAACAAGTTAGTAGATTATCGATGCCGGGGGCATCATTTACGCGAGAACGAATGGAAGATATACAGGTATATAAGTGTCATATAAAGTTACAGTGGTATATACAAATTGAGCATTGTTATATCACTCTATATGCTCCTGGAAGTCCGAATCTACATGTTCGCGGAAGTCCGAATCTATATTCTCGTGGAAGTCCAGCTTACCTGTGGCACCACATGATGAAGGAGCGTATACCGAACTTGCTTCGTCATCTAAGTCATCTTGGCTACTGAGTCGACCTGCGAACATTAATCACAGCGAACAGTGAAACAGTGTTATTAAAATTATTGTCAAACTTCTTTAAAGTACATCGGCATTTATTTAATCTCGTATAAGTCAAGCAATATCGCAGAATTACACTACTCGTTGCATTGCCACGAAGTTTGAAGTCTGATCATTTTAGACTTAAATACCTCTGAGTCCAAGACTTCGCCCGTTGGGTGTTCCTCTGTAGAGAACCGTTTCTAAATAGCTTAGACCATTATTGTTGATTACGTTGAAGCCACACAGAAGTTCGATTTGCTTCCAACGATGTACCCTCTCTTGTAGCTCCGCGGTGACTTCATTTAACGCGGTTCTTGCTTCCACTATACTTTTGTCAACTTCGTCGATGGATTTCCCGTGAGTGGAAACAAACGCGCCGACTAAGCTCGATCGTTTTTTTCGTAGTTTTTCGCACTGAAAGATACATTAACGAAAACCGTAAATATCTGTGTTGTAATAAATATGAAAGGAAAATTCGGGACATGTAATATCTTACTGCTTCTCGTGCTTGTTGCAGTTGTTTTTCCGCTGATATTTTTTTCTTCGTGTACGCCTTGTTCTCAATTTCATGAGTTAATTGTAACCAGTGTTGTAATCCTGGAGGAGGGGACCAACACCTGTCTTCGAGTTCACCTTCCGCGCGTTGTAACTCAAGTTTCAACATCTACGAGTCAGAAATTAATTAGGACCTCTAATATACGCATATCGATACGATATACTTACTTCGATTTCTGCTTTTAATTGAGAAACTTCAAGGTCGGAATACGAAGCGTGCAATCCCATGCTTTCATCTTGTAAGCGTTTCTCTAAATTCTGTTTTTCAGTCGTTGCACTTTCCTGTTCCAATCGTGCCCTCTCTAATTCTTTCTATAAATTTTAATGTACAGTGTTAATAATTAGCTGAATGCGTAAGAAATACAACGTACCTGTAAATCTTCGAGTGCCAGTTCTGCTTTTTGCAAACTTTCCATATCCTTCATCATTCTGTGCAGGTGTTTTTGAGAATTTTTCTTTTGTTGATAGGCGTACCAGCATCCAATAAGTGCTCCAAATAATAACGTTATCAATATCAAGTCTTTGATACTGTGACCAGTATCTAAAACATAAAACGATATTTAAAGCAAATGCCGTCGTATAAAGAAGGGAACTTTAAATATAAATAAAAGAAAACATTCGCACCTTTTGGTGGTCCAAAAAGTACTACATCCATAGCTTTTAAGGCAATTTTTTGTTTATGAATGGGATCTTTAATCCCCAAAACATTACTTAGATAATGCATGTTGTTCACAGCCAATCTGTGGAGTAAATAGAATGTTGAGTAAATCAGCAAACAGAACATACATCGTAAAACGTACCTTGGGAGTGTGGCACCAGTTACACGGTGTTGTATAAAAGTAGGAACATATTGAGGAAGCTCTACATTAGATGTTAGCCATTCAGACGTTTGTTCTATAGTCCAATTGTGAACCTGATAAGAAAAACCATTTAAATATAAAGTTTTCATGGCTAGAATTAGAGAATAAAATCGAGGAAAATATCGATAGTACCTCCGATCTTAACCAGGCTTCCCAAAGTTCTCGAACGCTAATGTGCATATCGTCGTTATGATGGAAAGCCCTCTGCCTCCTCTCATACCCAGCTTCATATTGCAATTCTTCCCTTAAAAACTAGAAAAAAGATTGTATTTTCTCCCGTTCGGAACCTAACGAAATCAACGAAGGAACGATGTACTCACATCGTCCGATTCCGAAAGATCTACATTTCCATTGGCATCGTCGTCTAGTTGACTGTGGAGTGATTTGATAGCTTCTAAACCTAGTCGATCATGAGAAGCCAGTGTAAGACAAGCTAGGTCATCGTTACAAGTATCGGAACCTGTAATAAATTGAATAGCCTACGTTTGATTGTATGTGTTTATGATTACATTTAGGTTGTTACGACAGGTGCCTTTTAAATGAAATTGTGTTTGAACCTGTAAAACATATACGACAAGCTCTTTATCCAATTTTATTAAAGCAAAGATGACAATGCAATATATGTATTCTGTTAATACAAACATGGTACACGTAACATTTCCTTAGATAATACCAGAGATAAGTATTACCATTATTATCGAATGAATACACGACTAATCCTCGAACAATTACAACATTTCCACGATTATTTACATTTTTTAAAACGGGCTTTTATCATAAACACATTTAGGTTTCCTTTACGCTTGGCAAACAACAAAAAACAAGGAACCAAAAGAGAACTTCTTATTGCAAAAAATACAAGTAAAACTGCTTTTTCATTTTGGATGCTTACTATCACTAAAAGCAAGCATTACAAATGCTTTACAACAAAAGTACATAAAAAAAATAATATTCTTCCAGAAATTCAATGTTATTCATACTATTAAGCATTATAGCACAAATAAAGATTATTTGCACGCATACATAAAAAATTTATGTGATAATGTCTTTCTTCCCATCACTTCTTGAAACCTTATTTTTGTCTTGCAATAAAAATATCAAACTAATGGAAGAGGATAGGCTCTTTTGAACAACATATGTCAAATATTTAAGCAAGATTTTGTGTGATTACATTAAAAGTTCTGATTATCCAAAAGTTCCAATTCTTCATTATTATGTAAACAGTATGTAATGTTCTGTTTGGTCTTGGTTTCTCGCTCTGTACTCCAAAGAGTTAGCAGCTGTCTTTAAAACCTGAGAGAAGAAGAGCAATCGGTTTATGAAACAGAATCAGTTCCATCTTCTTCTAAAGATTCCTGATGTGACGGGAAAAAGGACATTACTACATTATCTAAAACATATTTATACAGTTTCTATCTTATGTTTATGGTTGGCTATCGCCAAGGAAGGGAAACATCTTAGCAGAGAAGGGTATAAATGGATCGTGTTGAACGATTGAAGAAGATTGGGACGAATGTAAAGAGAGGAATGTTGACCCAGGAAACAAACACGAGCGAATGCCTGTAAGAAATTTACCAGCATCGTGAGCCACAGCCTGTGCCAGTCCATCTGTGAGAGTGGCGGTGAATGCTGAGACTTTGGAATGTGAGCTTCCAGAGGAGCTAGGCTGAAAGTTCGGGCTGGCATCGAGGGCTCCCCCGCTGGCATCTACCGTGTTGCAACACCAGTACAAGAAGTGCAGCCCGAACAGTAGAATCGCATCGTTAATCACGGATGCTCGCATTTTAAGGTTAGCTACACCTTGTCACTGACACCTCGCGCCCCCCTTGCGCAGTTGCTACAAGTCAAATAAAGCCGAATACTCTTGGCCCGTTGTCACCTTTGACGTAAACCCGCAATAGTGAATATACTCAAGGTTACAGTTATCAAAACCGGGGTGGCAATACGATTTGACGAGTGCATAACACGCGCGAACGAGCCACGAACATTACAGCAACCCCATAACTAATAAGTCGCACACCGTCGTTGCTGGCTCCATCAAGGCCGACAGGTCGGTCAACGTCCAAGATCGTTTTTTTAAATAAATCGATTGATTTATTAATTAAGTACACTACTCGACCAAGTCGGGTTTTTCTATCAAGGCCACTGCCCACGAACAACGTAACGGAAAATAATTAATTTAGATTGGAAACAACATTGGTGCATCTTTCTGCGTATAAACAAATAAGTACGAACGATTGGTTACGCAGCGGATCGTTCCCGTACTCTCATTGGCTTGGTGATGCACTTGAGATGGCATTGCCAACGTCGGTGCAGCGCGAAAATCATTTCTTTATTTAAGTTCTGGTTGCACGATTACTGACGATTACGAAAAAGGAAGGCGAAGCTGAACTTCTTTTTCGTAATCGCGTTGTGGCGACCTCCATGACGAAGCGTGGAACCATTCGGATGGTTGAGAAGTTGAGAAGGAATAAAATCGGTTATCAATCGATGATCTGTTCGTATATAAATTGAGCGAAATAGATAACGATGGTCTAAGCTGGTCTAAGGCAGAATCTACCTGCTGGAATGCATTAGGGATGAAACACTTTCTTTAATTTCCTTTTTTACACTTCAGCACAATATAAATAATAATTACACTTGTAATGTTATTTTATCGAAATGAATCCGTTCGAATATATCGCACTTAATTTTACTACGTTAGACCTGAAATGGTATTTCCAAGTACCAATTTTGGTAATTTCATGCGAATAAAATGGTACGTTGTTTCGACAACGATGGACTTAAAAATGAAGTTACTTACATACGTTCTGATCGAACTCTACTTAAATGTTTTCTTGCCAATATGCAATACGCGACACAGCCATATAAATGTTTGAGAGATTCTTGAGAACGCGTTACTCAATCGTTGTTGCGTTGACTGCGCGATGATTTCTCGATTGTATTAATCGCGATAACGTAATTAATCATTTCCTCGTCTGCAGGATTTTCTATCATGTAAACATTCAATCTGCTCAGCGCGCTATATTGTTTGCAAGCGTGCACTACAAGGTGACCAGCTATCGGATTCGTTTGAAAATTCAATGTCATTACATTGTCGTGATTGCTTGATGTTTGAATCTCGTCTGTATATTTGCCTTGAAATCATTATACGTAAAAATCATCGATGATACGAACTTGGAAAATTGCGTACACGATCGTTTGTACCTGAACGAAATCATGTATTTACGTTTAGACGACAAACAACAACAATGAATAGTCGTCGCGTTCGTTTTACGATCGCCTGATAGTATTTGGATATTTTTACACTTTATTGCACGATTGTGATACGAGAGAATGATACAACCGTTATGACACACGATAAATGTGTTTTTTTATTCCAAGTGAAAAATGTCGATCGAAATCTTACTCGGTTTGACGAGTTGCAAGACTTAAAACACGCGAAGAATCGAGACTGTTGAGATTGTCGCAACAGGTATTCGTGTAAACATTAGAATGGAGAGCAATCCAAGAAGTGATGATTGCGAAAATCAGGGAACAGGTACATTGTCGAAGAAAGATGAAACTCCTACCACGTCTCAAGCTGTACAAGGCTGTTCGGATGCTAAGATACCTACGGATACCAAAAATACTCAAGTTCGTGTTGTCAGAGGTACAAAGAAGGTGAAATTAGATGTTGGGGACAGTAATAATTCTGAAAAAAAAGGTTTGTTACATACTCTTACATACTCTTTTATTTGAGTATTTTATCTAGATAATAATCTATAGTTACTCTATTCATTTATGTTTAGATTCTAAAGATGAAGAAGCTAATGCTGAGGTAAAGGTGAGATCTCTCAAAAGATCTTGCGAATTATGGTCCATGGAAGATAAGAATACTTTCTTCAAAGCCTTGAACGAATACGGGAAAGATTTTGATGCTCTGCAAAGTTTTTTCCTATCTCAGGGAAAGAAGAAGGGTCTACCAGATGTTATGATAAAGAATAAGGAGCAGATTAGGCATTTTTATTACAGAACCTGGTTAAAAATTTCAAAACACTTAAAATTTTCAGAAGGTAACTACTTACAAAACATTTCTAATTTATTATCTTGTATCAGTACTAAAATAAATGTTTTATTCTATAGACGTGAAGAAAACCTCTCAGGAGTTGTATGGCCTAATTAATTACGGTGAACTCAGAAGAAAATTACCACGAATACACGAAAAAATACATTTGAAATTGAATGAACTAGTTTACTGGGGATCCACGCAGGTCAGACTTAGAGGAAAAACTATGCGAATTAAAACACCTATATGTAGGGCACTGAGAAAACTGAATCAATTAGAAGGTATGTTTAACAAACGAGATAGGATGAGAAGTACTACACAAAATTCATAATGCTTATGCTTATGCAGATTGGCAGGAAGAAATCAAGTTACCGTCTCGGATAACGATAGAATTAAGACCTCGTAACAACATGGCGTGGTGGCAAGTACAAGCATCCGCGATGAATCCGAGAGTACGCACTTTACTACCTATACAGAGACGTTTGTCCAGTTTGCTAATATTTTTACAACAAAGATGGAGGCCTGCGAAATATAACACAGTATCCTTGCTTCAAAGTACACCGCCGATATTAAATATTATACGTTGCGCAAAATGAAAATACAAAGAGAGATCCTATACGCGTAATCTAGTCTTCTAATACAGAGAATAATATCGTTAATGAAACAAAGGATATTCGGCTGTTACGAGTGGCACCTCCGGATGGATCTAAAATCACTTTACCCATGGTGAATCTTGGAGAGTATCTCACGAGTAACAGTGTCAGTTTAAATTCCTATGAAAAACGTCTGGGACTAAAAAGTTCCAGGCTAGACTTACTTGGATCGGTGCAGTATTTGAAAGGTGTTGGAAAGAAGGGGATTAAGAAAAGTAAGGTGGAGAAAAAGGGTGCCAATCAATCCGAGGATAATTGTACGGTGCCGGACAATAACAGCGATGTCGATGCGATAGAATCTGGCAGTAATGTTTCAGAGAAACCATCGGTTCTTAACATTTCAGAGAAGTTAACATTGGAACCACAGCCAACAGAACCTAATAGGTTCCCAGGAAGGGAAACGGTTGAAAGAATTCGAAAAGGATGGAACATCGAGGAAGCAAACACCATCACCGTGGGAGACCTCTTTTTAATGGTACTTATCTTCCCTTAAACTCTATAAAAAAATATTGCGAAAGTCTAGATTATCTTTTCTATAAATTTACAGTTTGGTCGCGAGTCTAAAATTACTCTAGAGTATTGGTGGGATTGGAACCCACGAGAACAACGTACCGAAGAGCCAGCATCGATCAGTTTACGGGACGATAATTTGTGCCTAACTTTACAAAAATTATTATCGATAGCCAAACACAGTTATGGTTCAAATAAAGTAAGAGAACACTAAAAATTCTAACGTTTCATAACAGATATTTTTTGTTTTTAAATGTACTAATCGTTGACAATTTTAGGTGTACGATAATACTTCCGGAAGTAACGAAACCGTAATTTCATCTCGTATGCTATCGACAAAGGAGTCGACCTTCAGAAGACCTCTTATACCGCAAACTTATCCTAAAATCGGTACACCAGACGCTTTCAAAACACAGCTAGACGTAAGTAATTATGTCTGTATACGTTTATCAACTGAAATACAATTATCAATCATAGTACCGTATTTTCTAAACCACAGAAATTCAAGACGCGCTTCTGTAAACGAGGCAGAACCGTAAGGCAGAAAAGTCTTATTGTGCAAAGGGTGTTACCAATAATATCTGCATCGAGTAGTCCATCGGAAGATTTACCACCTACCCCTCAAGAGACAAGCAAACCAAATGATTCTCCTTTCAATAATAACGATCAACGAAATGACAAACCGCCATCGATAAACATAAGCGAGCCGCAAGAGAAAAGCTTTTTAATCGAACTGAACGCGGCAAGGGATTCGAAACCTACGAATTCGATCATAACTAGTGCTACACAGATTCTCAAAGAAGGAGAACATCAGTGGCTGAATAGCGAGGTGACTTTTTAATTCTGTAATTTGCGATTTTGATGTATCGATTAATTTCCGCCGCGTTTGCTAACGGAGATTGTATCGCAGGTAGCGGATTTTTCTTTGAGCAGTTTTTTGGGTCAGCTCGAGTCACCTATGAAAATCTCACAAAGAAGTCAAAACGGAGAGCATATAGAAGATATTCGTCCATCGTCCGACGTAAATATTGGAAGGGTGTTAGACATTGGTATGATATTCCAATATATTAGTAACGTTATATTAATATTTCAGGTTGTGTCGCATATGCAGTGTCTCATGGGGGAAAATAGCGTAGATTACATGGCAAAATTTGCGAATCTCGCGTCGCAAATTGCATCGGATGATAATAAGAAATAAGAATAGAAATAAATTAGTTAAATTTTGTATAGATTTTAATTGAGATATTTAACGATCTTATACTTTGTAAATTCGGTCTAAATATTTAACCCTTTGATATTCCATTTATAGGTCGCATGAAATAACCATTACGAAACCGCGTATATATAATAAATGAAGAATAAGTAGAAATACATTTTTCACGGTACACAACTCACGTGTACACACAAAGTATCGTTACATTATTTCGTATGAAACTCCGACACAATTTCATGCTTTTTCGTAATTAACAATTTAGAAAACACAGTAATGTTTGTGATATTTTTTACGATATGTATCATAAATTTAAGTTATCGATTTCGTATATTCAGCTATCCATGAATATTTATAGATATTTAATTTTACGTGTGCTACAAAGTATTTATAGGAACCATCAGGTGAACGCGGGAGGGAATGCATTTGTAGGTGTTATCTTTGTTCAACCACGAAGATGACGCGGTGTCTGTGTGTGGAATCACTTAGGTAAATTCTCATGTATAACGACTGTAACTGTTGGAGTATCATATAACTAATTATGCGCGTCGAGAGAGGTAAAAGTGAATTCCCGATTTCCGATTTTCCTTCACGGGAAAACACTAGAAATTCCAGTTTCTTGGTAACAGCGGTTAGCTACACTCGACTTGCAGCTATGCAGACGTGTCATTTTGATTATTGATGAATATTTTACAAGTACTGTTTTTAGGAAGAATTACATTACGCTATTGGATTGCTTGAAATGATAATTTTTTATATGAAATTCATGATTGAAAAAATTGCAGGCACGCGCGTGGAATAGAATAGGAACGATAATGAGCGGAACATCCCGGGGATACTCTTGTTCTTGGAAATAGAACCTACGGTCTTTTCGACGGCACGTTGCGAAACAAACGTAAATGATTCATAGCACCCGCGTCCACGTGATCTTGTGCGCAGGCACCTATCGTGTATCTGTATTTGCACATGTGATTTTCTTCGATGCGAGCGCCTCCGATTAACTGGTTTTGCTCGTTTTATCGATCGCAAATGCTAAATCACCGAGAAAACGTTTTCCTTTCTGAGGAGAAATGTAATGTTTCAGTTTCCTTACACGTAAACGTTAACGACATCTTAATTATGTATTCGATATCATTCTCTTCAGTAACGTAACTAGGGGTGGTTCCCAACTTTATAACAAACGTATCAATTCGATACATTTGCACACGTGTGCAAAGGTGATTTGTCCATGTTGTAAATAATTAAAAACTATCTTTAAAGCATAGTGGATTGAAAGAGTTAGGTAAGAACACCATAAAGTCAAATTAACGGTGCTTACGCCATTGAGTTTTTGCGAGTCGCAATTTAATTTCGACAGGTTTCTATTCGAAGATCTCTTCGACCGTCACTCGTGAACGATCGTTTTGGTTAGGAACAGTTAGGGACTTTCGATTCGCACGTTAAAAAAATAATCGTGAACCTGTTTGACAGTACGAAGTGACCTTTCCCGTTTCGAAACGCATTCGATTACGCAGACGTTCGAGTTACTACGCTGCACAGATAAAAACTTTGCCGTAACGTGTCGTAAAAAAAAAACCACTCGTCGTTCTTAATCTTCCTTGCTCCTGTCGTTCTTTCTGCGCATATTTCTGTCGAGGAACTCGAAATTTCATTGATGCGCCTTTTGTTTACGCGATATCCAATGTTTTGAAACAGTTTGCGTACAATACTCGCGTATACATTTGTTAAAAATATTACTAATCGAAATGCATCTCATTACCATCCCAATCATCGACATAGTATAGTATGTACAGTGCATGTAATCTTATAGTTCTCCAGTTACTCACGATGATAACGAATAATGTATACTGTAATTGAAACCAGAAGAGTTGATAAAAAGAATTTTAATATATTCGTAAGTTAATTATGTTCCGCTCGACGCTAAGTAATTTTCTGATTGTATTCCGATAAGTAAATGAAAATTAAGGAGTCGACGGGTGCTCCATTACCAATTAAAGGCGATCACGTGGCGAACAGCATTTATAATTTTACGTTTATAATTCCGCGGAACGTTCAGCGCGATTCACGACGTGGTGCATTACAATTTCGAGTGATCTCCCGCGTGAAGGTTAAATATGTAAGCGTCTCCAGGTATTCGCAATAATTGTAACGAATCGCCTCTCAACATTTGCATCGCTGATGAACGATCGCAATTTATTTGTTTCTTTTCTGGATACTCAGAGTTCCTTGAAAATAGTAGTTCTTTTATTTCTTTTAGAAATAAGTTTGCGAGGTTAGGTTACGGTTTCTTACGATAGCCGATTACTTTGAGGGAAGTAAACGAAACCGAGATACACGAAAAGTCGTGTCCGAAGGCGATGCGGTCGGAGATGGACTGAATGTGTAATCGTTTCTTTTTTTTTTTCTGGTTTCCGTTGTCGTAGCGCAGGAAACAAAATTATCAAGAGGATACGTGCAAAAAATTGAACGAAGGATTTATGTATATTTAACCCGAGGCGACGGTTTGCTCCGCATTTTTCGAAATTGCATCCGAACGCGGCCGAGACAATTCTGTTTGTTGTTCCGAATGAGACTTTATTTTAATTTTTACGAGGGCCCAATGATTCATCCCGAGCGCATACGAGTCTGGCCAAAAAACAAGATGAATCTCGAGCGGGCGAAACAGGTTCGAAAGCTGTTCAGGAATTTTTCGATTCGACGAAAAGGAACGGAAGGAACAGGGATGCGTAATAGTTGGTTCTTTTATTTGTCGAATTATCCCGGAACCCTGTAGTTTCCCAATGCCTTGGACAAGTACAAAAGTACTAGAAATCGTTTCAATTTAGCGGATCGTTCGAGGAAAATTTTTTACGTTTCGAAATATCCGGTTAATCAGCGGATCGATACAAAATCAAAGCTTGACTCGGTTGTCGACGATTGCAGTTCTTCGAATCGGCTATTGCTAATCCTTTGGAGTTTCACAGATTGCGGTTGGATATGATAAAGACTGTGTTCTTCCCGCTGTGGAAACGGAATATATATAAAAAAAGAAAGAACTCAAGAACATGAAATAAAACGTAAGATCACGGTACCACTGATGTTTACAATCCGATGTCGAGACATTGTGGCGCACTATAAATAAACGAGTCCATTGGCGTCGCTCTTCCAACTTCTGTTTTACAAGAAATGGGGAAAAAAAGACAGGAAAAACGTCCATTTGCGAATAACGATTAGGGATGTCAACGATCTGTCCATAATATTTGTCGAATTCGTTCGGCAAAACGGTCGACGGTATAATTTGCGCCTTTTTCACAGATTCTATTTTTGAAACGCATAAAACGGGTATCGTACCGTGAACGTAACAACATTTCAGGAAACTTTGGTATGTGTGTCAAACGTCCAAGCGAGGAAACTTAATCCGGTCTCTGTATCTAGAGGTTGTAATTTTGCGTACGGAGAAATATCCATTTAAGATTGGGTTATGTTGAGTCCATATCAGGTTAACAAAATATTTGATCTATATGCATATGTGTAAGTATCAGGGTGCGCCAAGTACGCTCGATTCAATGAAAAACTCATGTAAACAAAACCACATGACTGTGGAATTTCATTGATCCTCTTTGTCTTCGGCAAAGATTCCTAGACTCGTTGCAGAACTGTAATTATTCTATTATTAATGGTAATTTGTACAACATTTCGTGAATCTGTGTCATAACGTTCCGCCCATTCTTCCCTGTTGCAAGTCACGTGGGTTTGTTTACACGAATTTTTTGAGGGAATGCGGTTATGTAAAGATAAATCTACAATTTACAGCAGACTATAGCAGGTATCATTTCTGGAGAAAGCAATTTTATTAAACTCCACTGAATACGTGTTTTGTGTGAAGGAAGAAATAAGAGTACGGGGGAGGGGGCATGGTAGTGCGAGTAGAATGTTTGCGTTTTGAATGACTATAACGTATGACCCAGTGAAGGTCAGACGTTACACTTTGCCTCCAGGGAAGGTCTTTTCTTCTCGACCGACCACGAAGAGATTAGTTACAGGGTCTTCGATTGCGCACCTCGCACTCTGTTACTGTTCATCGCCACTTCGTGAGTCTTCAGATCATGCAGATCTATCTCCACCTATTGTTACAATTTCAACCTTCATGTTTGTATATGTTTACTTATATGAAATCATAGTATTTTGTGTACCTATTCCTTATACATAAATACTACTTACTTGTTATTACTACATACGATTATACTTTCTGTGATAGAATTTGTACTTTTCTTGTACTTTTTGTTGACCAATCAGTCTATTTAGTACCACGGTTCTTCACCAATTTCTTTATAGAACATTTTTATTACATTCGAGATCATTTGCTTGTTTATTTCTCCAAGCTCTCGTGTATTTTCCCTCCGTTTCTTCTATTTCTTTTTCCTCGCAGAAACTCTGGATTGCGAAGACCGCCGCCTATGGAACGTATCCGCAATTATTGCGTCAGCAATCGCGGTCTGCGTGGTCGGTGATTGGCCGGTCCCGAAGAGCGGGAAATCCCCGTTGAAACCTGCTCTTCCGCGGTGTCCGTCCCCGCGGTTCTCCCGCTGACGTCTTTCGCGTCACCGCCGACCCCGTGGTTCGTCAGAGACATTCGGACGACCGGCGATCAGTATCGCGCTGTACGACACCGTCGCGACGTCGCTCGTTTTCCTTGGGACTCCCCCGTGGACAGTTCACAGAGAACAGTGATGCGATATTTGTGTTGACTGCCCGTTGGACACGCACGTTCAGTGGTTTACCGATACGTTTATCGATCAGAAATCATCGTACACGAACCGCGTTACTCGTTCTTTGATAGACATCGAGCGAAATCGAAGAATGGACCCGTTTGACAGTTACGACAGGTCCGACTTACCGGAGGTGAGTTGCAATCCAAGCGGGAAAACTTGTTTGTTTACTGCGATTCTATCTTACTGCACGTGTTAGGCTTACATCGTAAACATGCGTCGCGTAATTTTTATTCTATCCACGTGCCGTCGTTGAAGAATTGCCCGTAGTAAATCCGCCAAACGAAATAGCTATGTTTTATCAGTTGGTGTATGAATAAGAATGAACCAGACACGGAGTCCCAATGAATCTGTCCCTGTTCTGAATTCAAATTTTCAATCGGTTTCCATTCCTTTGAGGAGCACTTTGAATTTCAATTAGACTTCAAATTCCTTTCCTTCGTCTCTATTATCTCTTAACTTCTTTAGAAGATAAAAAATTACCAGTATTTCGTTGCATTACGAAGTAAGATCGTACTTACTCCAAACATATGTTGACAAGTTGTTTTATTTCGCCGTGACACTATTCCAGCCGAAAGGTGCGCGTTTTAAGTAAAGTGGTAACCGTCGGACGTATGATAATTCCTGCGCTTATGCTGCGACGTAAAACGAGTGCATTCGTAGATTGCGTGAATCCTGATATGCGGTCGTATCCAGTTTACGATATTTTGTGAGTAATAGACCGTATCTAACTGCAAAGTGGAGCAACATTTTCAAAGATATCGTTTCGATTGCGTCTTACAGTACAATATTGCGCGGGCGTCGATGGAACTGGCGCTTAGAATACGAAAATAAAGCGACGATCCAAAACGCTTCGGGGGAATGCAAGGTTTCAGTGGCGCCACTTCAGCGACAAAACAAACGCGTTTACACGTACAATTACTCTGTCGGTTCTTTTACAGTAATCAAAGAACTCCGGTACCTGTTTCTCACTACCATAGCAATTTTATAACATTTTTACGTAAACGATGAATGCTTATCGTTTACACATTGAATAGTGTATATTTTACATTCAGATTAATAAGACACTGTCTCTCTCCACCAACGAATTTTTATATAATTATTACGTCAACGATAAATGCTTATCGTTCGTACTTGTAATAATTACATGCCCATTTTACATTTAAATTAATAAAAGCATAGAGATAGACAGGGCCGGCGTTAGGGGGGGTCGCGGTCGGACAACCGCCCGGGGCGCCAGATTTTTGGGGGTGTCGCAGTCCGGTGTCCCTAATGTACGAATATACCGATATACAGGTTGTCCCAACACCTTGAAAGGGGTGGTTCGGGAGGTGATTTGAAACAACTTTTTCCTTAGCGAAAATGTTGTCCGAGACTTCGTTGAGGAGATATTAACGGAAAACGCTAACCAATCAGAGCACGAGGATGCCGATGGAGCGGCCGCGGTAGCGTATGAGCGCGGACGCCTAGCGCGTAGCTTACGCTCAACCGACATACTCGCGCTCTGATTGGTCGGGGTTTTCCCTTAATATCTCCTTAATGAAGCCTCGGACAACATTTTCGCTAAGGAAAAAGTTGTTTCAAATCACCTCCCGAACCACCTCTTTCAAGGACCTCCAACATTTTTGGAACATCCTGTATATACCTCTGAAGGGGCGCCACGATAATCTTGCCCGAGGCGCCAATATTGCTAAAATCGGCCCTGGAGATAGGTAGGGTACCGCGGTTCCTTTTCTAACAGTGAGACATTTTCACTTGCAGGCGATGCCTCAACGGCTTCAAACATGTTTCGGTGTATCGTAACGACATCAATGCACGGAATATCAAATTGTAATGTTAATTATACGCTCGTAAAGTTGACACTGCATTGTAAAAATGTATCTTTTGTATTGTAATTTTTGTCCTCCGTCAAGGTTTACAGAAAACACACGGAGTACATTAATGAGCCGCACGTTAATTCCAGTATTGACAATGCACCTTGCGTGTCGGTGTTGAAATGTTACCGTAACAATTTATTCTTCTTATTATACCGTGATTTATCCAACCGTGGAACGTCCATATGCTAAAGGAAAGAAAAAACACATTGGCTATGAGAACGACGGACGAGAGAACTGAATTTTTTCAAGATTAAATTGTTCTTAAGCAAACCCGTGCGTATTCGTCGGTAAATGACGCGTCGCTATCGCTTATTACAGGCGCTTGGATCGCCTAAAGGCATACTGTGCTCAAAAAAAAGAAAAAAAAAAAAAATATGGAGGAGATAATAATGTTCAAAAAAAAAAATAACTGTCAGGCGGTTATTTATTGCAAATTGTCGGTACCTGTTCCGCGTAGACATTCCACTTATTTATAATCACGGCGCAAATGCGTTTCTGCATGCGCACAGAAACGTTCGAAAACAAAGTTGCGACGATCTTCTTCTTTTTCTTTTTTTTTTTTCTTTTTTACATCGTATTAAAAAGACGGACGAACGTTTGAGAACCTGATTCATTTTCGGGTTTCCTTTGTCATGTGGCACGTTTCGGTTACAGGTGTACCCGTCGTTCCCTAATCTCAACGATGACGATGATCACTTTTTATTGGACATGGACTCGTTGGTGACGAGAAAAAGCAACGCCCTGACGACGCGCAGTTACGAATCGAACCGAAAGAAATGTAGCTTCGGTACGGCTGAAAATAATATCACGATAATTAAATGATTAAGTCCGAGGTGTACTACACGCACTCGAACAGATCAATGTTTGCAAAGTAGTTGAACGTATGTACATATTGTAATCATGTTTGATCGGCTCGTATACCCACGAATGCCCGACAGCTCTAGTTTCCAATCCATTTCCTATTCTCTTGCAAGTCATAGCATAATTTTAGTTCTCGTTAGACACGTTCCACGTGCGCACATTAATTTTCTAATAGCGCGTGCTCAACAGGTGACGAGAACAATGAGGTGATCGACGGTACCGGCTGGACGGAGAAACCTATCAGGAACTGGTGTCAGGAGGAGACGATAAATTGGCTAATGTCCGCGGCGTCTTACATCGGGCAACCGTACAGTTTAATTCAACACAGCCTCGCGGTGCCAGGAAACGAGTTGGTCACCTTCACGAGAAACGATTTTATCAATCACGATCCCATATACGGTGATCGACTCTATGACCTACTCCACTCCCAGCATATCTCGAATCTGCGTATGTAACTGCTACTGATAACGAGTGTAGTAGACCGTCCATCGAATAAGTATCGAGTCAACTACGGAATGCTATTTCTCTTACACCTTCTCGATATTTGCTTTAATACTTGACCGTTCTCGATATATCGCAATTTACTATACTCGTATCCTATACTCTATACTGTAATAATCTGTATAATAATCTGTACTGTAATAAAGAAAATGTATAACTTTGATTGCAGTTCCATCGTTCGACACCATTCACCCTCATTCCGAAGACGAATACGCGCGGATCAATTCCAATAACGCTTCAGGTAACCGTGAGTTTAGGTTTTGTTTACGCGCGGCGGAACGTTGTGTATATTTAAATTTTTGCATTCTTGCAGACGCTGAATCAGACAACAGTATCGAAGTCTCCACGAAACGACCACCGGGTAGACCGAGGGTATTAAAAGCGAAGAAAAACTGTAAGCATCGTTAACGTACCGGAAATATTCATTCGGGTGAATTTAAGTAACGAATTATGTAATTCTGCTTTTAGCCACCAGCCAGGGAAAGCTTTGGGAGTTTATTAGGGATTTATTACGCAATCGAGAAACGTGTCCAAGTTTAATCTGCTGGGAAGATTATTCGCAAGCGAAATTTCGGTTCGTTAAAAGCGACGAAGTCGCGAAACGATGGGGTTCGCGGAAAGGAAACACAAAGATGACTTATGAGAAACTAAGTCGAGCCATGAGGTAATTAATAAATCAAAGAAAATTTGCAATGTAAAGTAAATTAATATTTTTACAACATCCAAATATTGTTCCAGGTATTATTATAAAAGTAAAATCTTCCTTCCTGTACTTGGTCGAAGATTGGTCTACCAATTTGGGCCCAACGCAAAGGGTTGGCAGACCGATAATCCAAATTTCTGTCGTTGATCTACTTATCTCTAAGAGTTTCCCGGGTTCTACGGATTCCTATGAAGTTTCGATTCTTGTAAAAATTGTATAGATATTATGAAAAATATTTGTGATCCATAAACATCGTGCGAGGGTTGCTTCTGGAAGTTGTACAGGAAAGAAACAAAAATGCCGGACATTATTCTTATCGATGCATTTCAACTTTAGAGCAGCGAACGTAACGTTTCGATACGGAACAAAAATATCGAAAGTATTTTGATAATGGAAAAAATAAGCGTTGGCTCGATTAAGAATTTTAAAAGACTAAGGAGAACAGATCTAGTATTATAGGTGATATACACTGACTATATGTAAATAATATAAAGACAGTATGAATGAACAAAAACGCCGAGATTCTTCATATCATTGTACGCGTGAACGTGAGCCTGTGAAAATAAGTGGGACTGAGACGTGTGTGCGAATTGATTTAATTTTATATAAGGTTTTCACAATGTATTTAATATTAAGCATAATAGATCGTTTACTTATGTAAAAGTATACATATAATCAAGAAAGGCAATAATTCTCGTGACTTACAATCAAATAAATTTGCTATTACTTATTCTTTTTTTATATCACAGAGTTGTGTTATGTACCTTAATTTGGAAGCATGAGTGTCTTTTAAGTCGACCCATTGACTAACGGTCGATTTTAAAAGAGGAAACTAAATTACATGTGACAAACGACGCAGCGCAATCTCGGACATTTTTCTCGAGGATAATCGTTAATGGTCTCGAGAAAAAAATAATTGAACTTGTATCGTCTGTTTACAATCTATGGAAGATAGAATATCAGATTTAATACGTGTCATATTAACGAACCCTAATTAGCAGTTAAAGTGTCGACAGCTACATACTTATAGCACATGCAAAATTGCTTGCATGGATATTTCTATTTGAAAAAAATGTCGAACGATTCAATTATTTGTTAACAAATATTCAAATATTTAAATTTTAAATTGATAGCATCGTGGTCGGTAGATATACAAGCTAAAAGCATGCATAATCTGTTTTATAAATCGAGTTGTAGAAGATAGTTAAGGCTGTTGGATTGCGTTTAATTTGAGCGAACTCGGTTATCGTTGTTTATATAGTATGAGCGTAATGAAAATACCGACTGCACTCGTACTTGACTCGGTTTTGCAATATGTATATTTAAACGATTAGAAGTTGCAAGACCAACATGTGAAAATATTCACGTGACCTTACCCAGTCAATATGGCCGCCAAAGGCCATTGTTTTATACAAACGTAGTTTTACTCGGTAATTTGCCACGAATGTTCGACTGCCATTATCCGAGTCAATTAAGTATTCATGCAACCGGCAACATACTTAATCATTTGTTTACTACTACCGTAATAACTCTTCATACAAAATTCGACGGAACTGTAAAATAAAATACTATCGCCACTTTTCTTGGAAATATCTAATTTTCCTGGAAAATTTAATTGTTAGCTTAATTACAAATGTAAATTTAATGACTATTGAAAGGCACGAATCGTAAACAACCACTATCGTGAATTACGTATCACTTCAGACGGCATTTTGGAAAGAATGTGCGTTTATGCTCACGTAAAATAATGTACGGAAACAATTCAATGCGATCTTTGGTTACGAAAAATACCATAAGATAACGTAGAAAAAGGAAATCTTTCAAAAATCATTCGTTCACGTGCTATATTCATTTCGGGGATAAAAGAGAAGCTTTCGGTGTACGCGAAGTTACGTGACTTTCTACTGTTAAAAGGCTTCAAAATGTAAAGCGTAATACATTAAAAGATACGAATACGAGATGTTATGCTAGATCGTTTCAACCTCATTTCACCTACCGTTAATTTTTAATGATAGTCATCAACAAGGTTATGACCAGCAAGCTGTCCTGGACCCTATGTTTTTGTGTTTGGCACTTACATCTATTGTGTGAACTTTGAAGCGAGCACTGAAGCCTTATTCTAGATAATAAACTTGCCGTATATTTTTAATATGAATTGCAATAATAAGCCCCCGTATATCCTTTATATGTCTGCGACAAATTATCTTACCAGTCAGGATCTCACCTATGAAACAGATTATTCAAACTATTATTCTATTCCACGCGTTTTAATTTTCAAAAATTACCACTTCGTTTACCTTCGGTAATGCTAATTGGTTCGCTTAACGAAAATACTGTTTGCTTCCAATGCGTTGGGGTTGAGTGGGGTCCTGTACTGAAGTGAACTGGATTGTCCAAGTCGAAAAAGATATCGAAAAAGCCCACAATCGCGGTTAACGATCCAGTTTTTTTCACTGTTAATTCAAAGGGCGATGCGAAGTTTACGCAATCAGTCGTTACTTTATACAAGTCGAACTCTTGAATTTCAACCGTGCTCGTTATTAATTCGTCGGCAACGCAAATCTCAATGTTCGGTTCTCGTACAACTTGTGCTTTCATACAACTCATTTTAAAACCGTATACGTTTGACCAATAATCGATAAGTTCGACGTATCTCCCTGAGAAACAAAGGAGAATATTTTTGTTATTTTTATTATTAAATAGTAATTCCATTAATGTACATTGTCAACGAGTATATAGTAGGACGTACTAGTATCTCCGCTTCCAACGATATTGAGCGTACACCTGTTGGGTAGAAGTATTCCATTGGGCGCCAAGTAATGATCCCTAGCGTATATCACTGTGTCTAGCATACCCTCGTACAAGAGAAAATAGCCCATCCATTCGGATACAATTGCATCTACTTTTTCTTCGTCGAGATTAATGTCCTCGAGGCGACCTTTTTTTAGAGTGATAATATCACTTAAATTGTTTTCTCTATAGCGTGTTAAAAAGGATCATATTAGGTATACGAAAATAGCTGCAGTATATTATGCTTTGAAATCTTTGTAGGCATTACGTTTACCTCACTATATCGATAGCGTGATATATTACATCCGATTGATCTACACTGATAACTTTGCGACACCCAGTTTTTGCCGCAAACATAGATAGAATACCAGTACCGCAACCAACGTCAAGCACCACAGAGTTGCTAAACCTATTTGCATTTGTTAATAATGCATCTCTATAACTTTCTGTTCGTACTTTATCCTACAAAAAAATGATACTCGTAACGTTATTAATTTTCATTTAAACTAACAGGTGTAGACTTACTGTTAACATCTCGTGATGTATAGCAAAATGACTGTATGTATTAAAATAGCCTTTGTCAATGTTGCAATTAGAATTACCAGAAGGAGTGATACTGTTGTTTCCATCCATATCCTCGTCTAGTACCAACTTTCGCGTTTTCTCTGACATTTCATCTATTTGCTAAGAGTTAACGTCGTTAGACATATCTTACAAATATACAACGTTCGCATAAATACCTGTTTTGCCATGAAACACGCTAATTCGCGTTGCTCTAATTGTGCCCGCAACGTTTGAATTGTCTTTTGCAATTCTACAAAATGCGCCTCGGATAACGTGACGCATCCATTCTCTGAATTTACAGTATAAGCTATAGGTTTTGTCGTTTTCTCTTCTAAATCCTCGATATCTGTAAACAAATAGAATCTGGTTCCACCTTGCCAGAAAAGCATCTTTGCTTACCATAATATTTTGATTAAACTCACCAAACATCAACCAAGGATCGTCCTCTATGATAGGCCTTAAATACTCGTCGCTCTCCCATGTTTTTATATTCAATGCATTTAATTGGTCCGGTAAGACATTCTTATGACGTATAAAGTTAATCAATTTAATATAAGAGTAAGTGTCCAGAGAGTGTCTCGTCACAAAATTCTTTAAGTCAAATCTATGTGATGAAACAAGGTGCTCCAGGGCCATGGAAAAGTTGTTTGTAACCTCGTTACAGAAGAGGCACGGTATAGACTCAAAATCCTCTGTCATCTCATCCCAATCATCTCCGCTGTCATCATCGCTCCTTCCATCCATTTTGCAGTCATAATCGCTTCTTAGTGGAGTGGCTAGCGAATAAAAGTAATTACAAGTGTGAGAGTGCATCCAGTACCAATGAAATTATGTGAAAGTAAGACATTAATGACAAAACTATGTACACTTTACCATTCATTAGCTATTTTTTAAGTAATCTTTCGATAAAATTGATGAAATTACTAAAAGTGTCAAATTGACGATATGTAATTGAAGAATATATATGTAAAATTTTAGTGATTTTTGGAGACATAGGAAGAAAAATTTAATGCTTACCTTGCTCTGTCATTCTGCGAATAATTGGTCTCAATAATATGTGACGGTTATTGATATCTAAACAGAAACGTTTAAATGTTTTCAAGGTTAGAGATCCGCACTTGCTCGAATCATACGGACACGTGCAGAAGCAGGCGAAGCCTTTCGCTCGATGTTCTCTATTATCTCGCGGTCCGAGCCAATAAAAACAACCCTTCTGTTTGCGTAGGTGGTCCTCCTTAAACTAGAATATAATATTTATCGATTCCACTCGGTGCATAAGAGCACTTGACCTTTCAAAGCTTTTCTTTTTCACGAAACTTTTCTGGCTTACACCGCGAGAAAATTGGAACACTTTCCCCGAAACACAGGGAATACGATTATGTAGTCAAACATAGTCAATAATCAATAAATAATCAAATAAAACGGTTTTCCATCATTTATTGAACGTTATCTAAAGAATTTTGTTTTCTGATTTCTACTGTCATTATTTACATACACGAAATTAATAGTAATAGTATGCATTTACATACATACTATCTAATTCTGAGGCATTCATAATTAAAATCTACCAACGTTGTTATTAAAAGAAACGTATTTATTATAAAAGTGATTATTACAAAAATATTTCCTGACATTTAAAGGAACATTAATACTGAGTTGTTTCAATTATTAGGTTGTCCCAAAAGTTTCTTTCGCTTTATTAATAAGTAATACATGCACAATATTTTATGTTTTATGTTACATTACCGAATTGTGCACGATTCATTTTGCTCCATTACTGTTACAACACGAATATCTATGAAATTAGATTGTCTATTTATATAAATACGACCACATAAAATAATTGAGTGCAACTCGCGAAAGAAATTTTCGGGACAACCTAATACTTCACAGCGATTTCTTTCGAATTATTTATTCGATTGTATGGTTCTGTGCTGTTCCAGTTCCATATATAGCATCCCATTCGACATAAGTCGTTAAACTAGATTCAGATACACTAGGACGTACATGTATCAATGCTTCCTTAAAGTCTTCAATTGTCACCTGCCTAACATCTTCCTTCCTAATATTTTCTAATTGACTGAACGAAATACATCTAATCGGGCCCATACTGGCTTCTTTGCATAAATTGGACATGTCTGCTCCGGAATATCCTTTCGATTGTTGAGCTACGTCGTTAACATCTTCTTCTGTAAGATTGTGCGGTATCGTTAGCAATAGATTATTTATGATTTGTTTACGAGCTTGAAACTCTGGTAAGGGAACGTAGAGTCGTTTAACGAGTCGTCTTCGTGCTGCCTCGTCCAGTTCGTGAGGTCTGTTCGTTGCTCCTACGATTAAAATACGATCTTCGTCCGCAGTCGCGGCTCCATCTAATTGTACCAAAAACTCAGTTTTCAATCTTCTAGAACTCTCGTGCTCGGTCTCCGATCTCTGAGTGAGCAAAGAGTCTATTTCGTCCACGAAAATAACCGATGGCTGATAAACTCTAGCGACAGCAAACAACGCTCTGACCATTTTCTCCCCTTCGCCTATCCATTTCGAAGTCAAAGAGCTGGCAGAAATGGAAAAGAACGTCGATTTACTCTGCGAAGCTATGCATTTTCCTATGAGAGTCTTTCCGGTACCGGGCGGGCCGAATAATAAAATTCCTTTAGGTGGCCTGCGTAAACCAGTAAAAATATCGGGTCTTAACATAGGATACACTACTACTTCTTTGATAATTTTCTTTGCATATTGAAGGCCAGCTATGTCGTCCCAAGAGATGGTCGTTTTGGAGTCCATTATTTCATTCCTTATCAACTCAACCATTTTAGGCTCTATGTTCTTCAGTCTTTCATCTTCCACTTCCCCTGTATCGGTTTCGCTGTTGTACATGTTCTCTTGACCGCTCGTTTTCTCTTTTTCTCTTTTAAACGGGCAAACAAATTGAGAATTAACAGCGACTTTGCCACCTAAAGTCTTTTTTGCCGCTGGCTTGTTAACTTTCATCTGTTGCACGGTTAATTCGTCTCGAGCAGTTTTGAAGTAGTTCGATTTAGTTTTAGGCGCCGCGGAATCTTCCTCGCTGTTCTGAACGAAAACTTGCGATTTTAATTTCGAATTACTTCTGTGCATATTGAACGAGTCTTCTTTTAGAAGTTTAGATTGTGTCTTATGTTCAAATTTAATAGGTCGTTGCTGCCGTGGAAAATGTTGATGTTCCTGAGTTATGGGGGAAGATTTAGGTATCTGTTTTTTCGCGTAATTTACTTGTGTACTATTGGTTTCATCTACAGAGTTACTCGACGAGAAAGAAAACGGCTCCGCTTCGTCTTGACTATCTTCTCTGAGCCTAATTTTATCATCTAAGTTTGAATACAAAGTTAGATTTGATTTTGCGTGACCGCTGATTTTCCTGTTTCGAGTACAAGATTCTTTATTTTTCCAAGTACTTATAATATTCTCTATGTGTCTATCATTGAAAGCCCTTCCGTGACATGGCATTGTTTTGTCATCTTGGCAAGGTAAAGGTTTTATAAAATTCAGCGCCATATCTACGTCATGTAAACTAGTCTTCCATGTCTGTGGATTGTTATTGATCTTTGATGTTTGAGCTTTAAATTGTTTCCAATAGTTATTTACACCATTCTTGTTCTCCATCAGATTCTGGTAATCTTCTAAACTTCTTCTAAGCAAACAAGCTGCCATATCTTCAGATTCGCTGCGAGTTATAATTTAAATATATGTAGAAAAAGATTATATTTAGGAATAGATATGTCCAAATAATTTAAATTCCCTTACGATTGCCTTGCAGTTAAATATTTAGTGGCAAGACATCTGCGCTCAATGTCTACAACCTCTGTGTCATCCTTATCAGCTTGTGAAAATTTTAAAATGTGATACGCTGCTAAATAATTATGTTTCTCCTTATTAGATGCTACGTCAGCGGTGGCCATATCTGTTAACAAAATAAATATATAAGCATGTACCCCTCGCCTAACCTTCAATAATAAAACATAATTCAGTACTGTACTTAATGTTTGATTTAAACAATTACTTAAAAAATACAGTATAAAATCATTCAGGGTTTCAAGACTGTGACTTAATCAAGCTGTAATTTTAATTATAATATTATAATTAATATTTGTTGCATCTGCATCATGTATGTAAACATATAATCAACTTTAGCTGTAGATTATAGAAAAATAATAAATTAAATTTTTGTAATTATTGTAAAGTTTTTATGTAAATAAAATAACAAATAGTTTATAATAATTCGCATTCATTCATTTGACTACAGTTGTCGGATAGGCAGAATACCGCGGCGACATCTAGCGGCGTGAGGTGGAAACTACTCCATGACAAACTTAGGCGGTTCGCCGAGAGATGGCGCCACATTTCTGTTTATTTTTAGTTATTTAAAAACTAGGCATTACAGTCTCGTCCTTCTAACACAATCTAACATCTCCTTTACACTTCCTGACATTCTAGCCTAACATTCCTGACATTCTCCCTAATTCTAGCTCGAAACGTACCTTTTGTATCAGAGTCACATGAACAAAGAGTTATATTTTGTTCCTTACTCGGATCCAATGGTACCCTAAATTCTAAGTAAGTATATACAGGAGAGAGAACTGCAACGCTCGCTCCAATGCGCATGATCAGGAAAAATCCCACGAATGTCCATCACTGCGTTAATAATTTGGAAATATTGTTAAGTCAAAGTTTTAAACTTTATTTTATATTATCTTTAATCGTATAAGAAGAAAACTATTAATAATGTGGATCCTTCACTTTTGTATTCTGCTAGAAAAACGGGTAAGTAATCGACACATGCCCTAAAAATGATTGATAAATGATAATTGTTAAGTTCAGTTGTTCAGTTATCAATTTATTTATTTTTATAAGTCTAATCTACTTATGTACACATTTTTTTATCTCTATAAAAGTAAATATAACAATTCAATGATGTTAGTATCATATAATTTGTTTTTACAGTACATGTTATTCAGTACTTGTAAAAACACCAATCTCTAACTATGTGTAAAGTATTGATTCTGTAGTCTAATTGTATAATTACTTGCAACACATGGAGGCACTTACGTAATTTTGTATATATTAAAATTGTATGTATAATCAGCCACAATGAGCTTTACCACAGTAGGAGAAAATCAGCTATGGTACTAATAGAAACATAAAAATCTCTATTGTTATGAAAGATGGTGACTTTTTTTAAATGGCAAAAATGACTGTGGCTCGATATACATATATTTTTTCTATTTTTATCAATTACTTCGCTATATTTCATCTTACTAAATTTGAATAATTGTATAGACTGATTTGATTAAAACTTACATTACAGCATTTGAATACGCAAATATTTTAGTGATACAAGTATATATTTTTTTTCTTATGTAGAATATATTTTATACAATAAATACATTCTTTTTCTACGTAGTAACAATTTGTATTCAATATTAGGTCATGTTACGAATGTTTATATATTATCATATACTTGCAGATAACACTTCGTTGATAGGAAAGTTATTTTGGAAACTAAATACTAAAAAACGAATTAATGAATATATTATGTTAATAACTTTAAAATGAGTCCTACAATTTTGTTATCATGCAACTTTGGTTAACTTATAAAAAATACGGAATTTAGTACTTTCAAATGTGGTATTTATATACTGATTATAATAAAAATTGAAGTTTTCTATTACATATAACGTATATAATAGAAAGTATATATAGATATAATAATGTATACAAATCATGAGATAACTATCCATGTACAGGTTTTGACGTATTTTTTATGTACGTTTGTTAAATACAAATAGCATACACGGTAGCTGTATAAATGTACAAAAACGTAAGAAACTAAAGCTAAAATTCAAAAAGCTGGGTCAACAATTTTAGTGTTGCTGAAACGTGAAAAGTGAATTGTTGCCTTGCAATACTGCAAATGTTTAACATAAAATTAATGTAATATTCAGTTTACAGTTTAAATCGTGCAATAACGTTCAATTTATTATACATATCGAAGATTGCAACATTTGAAATTGGAACCATATCTAATTACCTAACTATTCTTAAATTGGTCAACGTCCATGAACAATTTCAAATTAATTTATTCCTGGTTTACACTTGAAATTCTGTAGTCTAAGTGAAAGACACTTCCTTGCAACATAGTCTATATCTACTCTCCATAATAAATTCGGTTTTGTACTTGAAACATCTTAAAACGCAAAAACAAGAATGTTTTAAATGTTTGTTAGGTACAGATCTGGCATCTAACGTTAATGTTGTATGTAAACTGTCGCATGGCATTTAAGTAAGATAATTTAAATTGTACTTAATGTTTTTACAATTACTGTTAAAAAAATAATTCTGGTATCATCGTACATTTAATGAAAGGAATATCTACTACAAAGGAGTTATCAAAAGTTGATAAAGATCATTAGCATAAATCACATAATTGGTTACATTACAGGATTCGCACTACAAATAGTTTTCATCGTCGTTTTATCAAATTTCATGGACACCATTTGTAGTCACAAAGTAATCGTTATATCATAGGATTCTTTGTACTATCGCTAAAGGTTAAAATGGAACGGATTCGGGTTTTTCAGCAACCTTAAAAATATTCGATAATTCATCGACTAACGTTTCATATCGATAAGCCACCCGAATATCTGGCACATTTGTTCGAGTAATATCATTACCAGCTACTCCCTCTTTAGTATAATTAGGTCCAAGCCAATATTGTTTACTCTGTAAAATAAAGAAAAGTATATATTCTGTTAATTTATTTAGCTTGTGATTATGGTTTTAACAAAAATGTAATATATTTTTCAAATAATGGAACAAAATAATGAAACAATTTCTATGTACACGTGTCCGACAAATTTTTGGCTTTTTTATAAGAAATGTTCAAAATACAAGCAGTAAATTAGTTTCGCTATTTTGAAACAGAATTAATCTAAGAAAATACTCCACACTTGTGTTTATATCCAGTACATATATGCACATGTAATACATACCTTGTGTGGAAAACCACTCATAAGTACGGAATTACGTGCTAATTCACACATATCACACGAACTGAGTTTCCATACTTGTGCAGCAATACTGTACTCTTCCATTAAAGGTTCCTATAAGAAACGATAAATAAGTACAAGTTTTGTCACAGAAACATGAAAAAACTGTGTAAACCAATGTTATACTAACCTTGGTGAAGTGGAATTGAAGAGGATCATCCGTAGAAAGACTTACACATAAACCTCTTGCTAAATATTCAGGAAGTGGATTACGATGGTAGTTCAAAAAGAGAGAATTATTACTGAGAGGTGACATTGCAATCCCAATTTGCGCCAAATAATACAAGTATTGTAGTACAGGTACTTTTCGAAGTAAAAGACCGTGAGAAATGTTCTCTGCCATCATGTAACCGCACACAAGATGTTGAATAGGACCAGCTTCGCCGCAATGAGGTCTTAGAACAAAGGTGTTAAATCCTTGGTCTCTGTAAAAAATTATGTTATACGTAAATTTCAGATAAATTACCTAAACATGGAACTAACATTAACTATTAAAAAAAAACTTACGCTCTAAAATGATTCAAAACAGTCATATTAGCATAAGTGTAGTACTGATAATATCCATAAGGAGGATTTTCAATATCATCCCATTCTGCTGGTGGATAAACATCTTTGTCAAACAAAGGATTTTCAGGTTTACTTTCATCGTCAACTGAATCAAATCCTATTACCTATAACAATTATTAAAGTAATAACTGTTCGTATCATATAACGTCTTAAATACTATGTGCTGAAAATTACTTACATATTGAAGGAATTTGTGTAATTCTGGATGAGAGTTTGGATCATTTGTTACTTCAAAAAGTGGTAAAAAGATATTATTTAAAATTTCTTGGAAGTTTGTCATCAATTTGTTCAATTTGAAAATATCACTGCACACAAATTAGAATTTATGATTAATATATTAACATAATTAATTATAAATACAATATATCGAAACATCCTGTATAGTGAATAATAAAAAAAAAAAAAAAACTTACTACAGTCGAGGAATTTGAATGAGCCAGCGCACGTTATCGGAGTACACGTCGCTCTGAATGGCCCACTTTGCTAACTTGTCCCATTCCTCTGGATTTTTGCCATAAATCGAAAGACGCAATTCTGCATTTTGGTATTTCGACTCTTCAAGATCACTGGCGACTTCTTTAATGATGCTAGCAAAAAATTTGCCGTTGAGGTAATTGTCCGTTTTCAAAAACACCTCGCGGAGTCGACTCTCGCCAATTGGATTATACTTGGCATTGAACTTATCGAACCTATGGAACGTATTTCTATCCTAGAAATAACATTACGCATCGATTAGACATTCTTAAATTAATTTCTTCGTAAAACGTATTATCAACGAAAGCTTACTGCGTGTACGTCTAACATATCAACGCTGAGATCATACGTTGTCAGATTCATGGATTGAAACACCTCTCGAAGTGTCATTGTTTCACCATTTTTCGAACACGTGACAATTTCATTTGCATGATTCTTCAGAGTTTTTTTAATGAACCTAAGTAGGTGTTTCTGATTCATACAAGATGCTGCATGAATATGCGTATCAACCTGAAATAAAAGATTTTTATGTGATTTTCCCTTAGCGAATTTTTGTTTAATGTTTACAAAGTAAATCCGAATATTAATACGAGTCACTGTATATCCGCATCATGTAACAGCGATGGCAAATGTCGTTGCGCATCTACCTTGCGGACATTCGACGCTCGCGACTTTCGTATACTGACCTTTCTGATGTTATAAAAATCCCTGTGCGGAACCGCTTTTTGACTCGCAAGTTCCCTAAGTTCGTTCAACAACACGTGTAATTGGAATTTCGATGAAAGATAGCTCAGTCTTCTGTAGCAAAAAGATTTTAAAGGACCATCGGCAATCATTGCACAAAGAATGTTCATGTCTCTGACAAAAGTCGCCAGATCAGGATACGAATACGGAATTGGTTTTCCGTTAGTAAAATCTTCTTCGGTGGCGAACAAATTGAACACGCCATTAACGGGTGCAATTTTATAATTCTTCGACGGGGGAAATTCACATTCCCACGGATCTCCTCGTGACGCTGGCGCATGCACAGGATGATCTGATAATAAAATTTAACGAGGATAAATATTATCGCCGTTTCGGCGAGATTAATATATTGTGCGTAAACTTATTTGAATTTGTCTCATCTAGGAAATTAGTAATATAAGAAAAACAATTAAGTATGTAAGGTAATACGATTTAGGAAGTTTCGAGTTAAGGAGAATGGCGGGAGAAGGACCGTTCCAACCAATGCGCATCTTTGAACAAAGCATCACTGTCGGCATCGAATTGAATATATCCATAATTTCACTTTCAATCTGCGACAATGCCCATTTACCTTCAGAAGTAAAACATTAAATTGTCTTTACATCATAAATATTTATTACATGTAATATACATACAGTGACGTGCAAAGATTTTCGGCGAAATAATTTTTTTACTTCATCTTTCAAAAGTTAGAGCTGAACAAATTTTAAGTAACTCTTTCTTACTTTGTTTTTGTAAGACAATTTACAATTATAATTATATAATTTAATATTTTCAAGATGTCTAAACCAGCAACAGAGAATGGAATTATTAATGATATATTGGAGTAAAATATTTAAACCGTTCTGCAATAGAAACAAATATGACTTCAACAATGAAATTCTCGCCTGAAACGACGTTTTTAAACCTAGAGATGTAACTCGAAGTTTCATTATTCCTTGAATCCATTATAATGCTTGTGCGTTCAATATTGATTAAATTTGTGTAGCTGTTCCTTCGAAAGATAAAGTGAAAAATGTGTCTGACCGTGGACATTTGCACACCACTGTGAAAAGGGATCGATGGGTATGAAGGATAGTATGTTATGATAATCAATGTAACCTTATGATTGAAAGATAAATACCCGCAATGGCTTTACGATCATCGTGTTGGACCTCATCGTCACTGTTTACTGGCCTTTTATCGATACTGCGCAGAAATCGCGATGTTATAGATGGAAAACTCTGTTTAGAATTGTTCATGTATTTCTCACGTATCGCCAACGCTTGGACCAGCATTTGGGATGCCTGTTGAAGATCTTCCAACGGTACCTGAAATACATTCATGAAAATTACGTTCCAATAAATGGAGTTTAGATAAATGGAGTTCTATTGTACTCACTCTACTCATCTAATCTAATACAAATATTTTCGACTTTAACATTTATCATTCCACATGCAAACACTATGTCATCCTTGCTCTACGAACCCTGAATCATCCCTCTACTATCATCTTCATTCTTACTTTCAGAATCCTTAAAAACTAGTTGTTTCCTAAAGTAATACAGCGTGAGTCATCTAAACTTTGTACCTAAAATATCTTCGCTCTTTTTGATAATACGCAGAAATCCCACCAGACCATAGTTTCCAAGATTTTAAGATCGTTACCGTTTATTAAATAGGAAAGTGTATTTTCATTATTATAATATTTTTGTCTGAGAAAAAAAGAGAGTAAAAAGTAGTCGAGAAAAAGGTTATACTTCACATTTCTAACTCATATAATCTAGGCTGTATAAATAATTAATTCTGTGTAATTTCGAGTATTTTTTGTATTTGATGTTTGAAAGTATAGAAATAAGATTAACAAATGTATTAGCGGAATGTCTCTTAAAACGGATTGGATGAAATATATAGTAATTAAATGAAATACATAATAATTTGTTGCATAACAAATGAAATAAACGTATTACATAAGTGTATACTGCAAGAATACTCATGCGATAGATATAGGATATATTTAGTACGTTCTGTATTATTTTTACTATAATATGTATATGTAACAATTGTTTACTAGAATTACACCAAATTTTTCGTAACGGTAATGACACATGTGAAATAGCTAATAATTCTTTATAGATTAAAGAGTTACCGATAAAAGGATAGAGCCAGGGGGAAGAAACGGTAGGGGTAATAGTAGTTGACAAAGGTTTCCTACGTAAGGCAGCATTCTTAAGGTTTCTTCTCATAGAAATTACAAAAAAAGACACACATCCACTACGTAACACAGATTTGACATATTAGCTTAATTATTAGTCCATTTATATTGAATGCCATAAATGATGACAAACAATAAGCGTAACATATATACAAAGTGCAATAAATTGTTGGCAATAGTGTAAAATAGAGTCAACGTACGCCAGAAGTATCCTCTCCAGATATGGAAACTCTTTGGAAATGGGGTACGAAATCATTTTCCTCGAGATTGAAGATGTGATCAACATCATCTGGCACTCCTGGTCCAAGGGAAGGTTCATAATGGCTACGACGTTCCTCTAGATCCTTGGCAGCTCTGAAAGAATACCCAAAACGTGATTTTGTTTATTCACAATAACAAGGACACTCGAATAAATAAACGTCACATCTTAATAAAATAGTAATTGCACAGAAACATGTGTACTACATGATCTCATATATGCTGTTATAAACATGTAACATGGGCTTGAGGGATGCATACCAGGAGTATGCTGGATCTGAACTATGGAAATAGCAGAAACGTTCGTGAAAGGCATATCATTTAATATATATAAATAAATAATAAATAACATTTTTTATTCATGTAGATTAGGAGTATAAACAATCTCAAATAGCATTATAAATAGCATAGTATTATTTGCAATGGTTTTAAATCTAAACAAAAGTACAGAAAGCAGCCAACTTCAATGGACAAACATTGAGATAATGTAAAAGAGATTACATTTTCTTAGAACACCTAAGGACATGTTTCATATATTAATTCGAGTAGCAGAAGAATAAGTGGCATGAACTTATGTGACGACGTAATAACTCGAACGAAAACTTGCTATACAGGGTGTCCCAAGAATGTTGTAACACATTGAAAAGGGTGATTCGGAAGGTGATTTGAAACAACTTTTTCCTTAGCGAAAATGTTGTCCGAGGCTTCGTTAAGGAGATATTAACGTAAAACACTGATCAATCAGAGCGCGAGTATGCCTGTGGGGCGTAGGCTACGCGCTAGCCGGCTTCGCTTATACGCTACCGCGGCCGCTCCATCGGCATACTCGCGCTCTGATTGGTCAGTGTTTTCCGTTAATATCTCCTCAACGAAGCCTCGGACAACATTTTCGCTAAGGAAAAAGTTGTTTCAAATCACTTCCAGAACCACCTCTTTCAATGTGTTACAACATTTTTGGGACACCCTGTATAAGAGGCAGCTGGTATCTCAAATATTTCTGTGAGAAATTGAATTGAAAAAATTACCGAACGTGCTTTAAAATATTCCTGAAATATTCTTTAAAAAAAATCACGAAAACAATGATGACGCCGCAACTTTCTTAATTTGAGATATTTTTAAGTACAAAAATTACAATATATGTACTAAGAAATTTCTTGTTCAAAAAATTCCTAAATATGCTCCTTTTTTTAAACCGTCGTAGGTAGGCTTCTCTCGATAAATAAGTTTGTCGCCTCCGTAATAAAAATATTTGCCGTTCACAGGCGGCGTTTTCCTCCAGGATGTACGAGAAATCGTTATTAGGGCATTTTATTTTACCTCAGTAGTATCGTATTATCCCTCAGCCATCGTTTCGATTCGTTCGCACCAGCGAACATGTTAGACAATTCCTCTTGGTTTTTATTCTTCTCGTGTACACGACAATACGCCAAAAAAGACGAAACGTTTCGCAAGGATATCTTCCTTTCTGCGTTTATTACTTTATTTCGTATTCCTTAGCACAAACTCCGAACAACAAAATCGTACACAAAAATTCAACAATACGATAACGGATATTCTAGTATTATATCATTTTTAATAATTAATTAATAGTATTAATTTATACACGTTTTATCATCAATTTATATCGTACGTATTTTTAACAAATGTTATTTTGTTCCTCTATCTATCATATTTTAATAACGATCATACTCGCGAAACATTTGTGCGGTCACCAGAAATCAAAAACTGAGAGCCATCGTTCGCTATACCTATTCAATATCATTAGGTAAACGTTAACGAATATTCAGCTAACGCGCACGCAGTCGTCGATCGTGTCACCATCAGTCAAAAATTCCTTGTCAACTTCGCAGTCACCATACCGCTATATTTACAATTCTTGGGCTATTGTATCGATCATTGTGATCACACGTGCAATTCGAACGCAATGCGCTCACGCCAGATAATTTTATACGTAAATTACGTACACGCCGTACGAGCTATTCAATGACCGAGATGGCATTATTAACCGTGCGATAACTACTATTCGGTGAGATGTATCTATTCGGAAGGGAAAAAGACCGTACGCGGCGTGCGACGAATCAATGAGACTTGGAACAGAGATCCATCGCATTTACGCGTTGCTGGAATTCCCAAGAACGTTTAAGACCGAAAGGAAAGTAACCGCGATATAACTAGTCGATAAATTGGACCCTCGTACGAAATGCGCGGTTGGAAAATATTATTAATAATCGACGAACCAAACGAAATTCTTCGCAGTCATATAAATTTTCCAACCTTGTCCGATTCGTTACCGAGTAATCGCAATAGTCTGAAATATATAGTCGGTGTAAGAAGTATTCGTACAGCGACCAATTTCAAATAAAATTAATAAGAAAAGAAACGAGAGGCATTACATTAAACGTTAATTTAATAGTTTAATTTACGGAAATTCAACTCTAAAAATATATAGGAATATGTTGGTCAATTATTTCTTCCCCTAAAATTTATTCATAAAATAAATACAAGAAGTATCATTTTCAATTGGTTTCTGTACGAATACTTATTACACTGACTGTACATATTTAAATGTCATTAAGTGAACATCGGTGAATCTACATCATGAAGAATTCTATAATCAAAATATTCCATTTACATCCGTACGTAATAATAAAAAGTCATTTCATGGGCTGTCCTTGTAACCGTCAAAAACAGCTGGGTAAATAATCTACGTATTGTCGGCGGCCAGTTTTCTTTAAATCACGCCGATACATTTTCTCGCGTAATTCGTATATGTCACAGCACGATTAACACAAATTCTCAAGGATGAAATCACTACGAATCGATGCATCGACTCGCATAGTCTGACATCGGGCTAACACTTCTTCGCGAGGTCAGAAGAGGATATCGTGCGAACGATTGCCGATTACACGCTCGTCCACGAGTACAAACTTCTTTTGCGGTTTTGGACCGGAAATGATCTACGTCGCACGCCTATTCCGTCAACCGGTAAACATCGTTGCTCCCCGACGGTCGCACGTCGACTGAGCAGGACGACCGTGAGGACTGAGGACCACCGAGGTGCAAGCAACCCCTCTCCATGACCGTGTACGTGTACTGTACATTCGTCGGTGCGCGTGTAGCCACACTTACACACGACCCATATCCGACGACGTAACCTTCCGTTACGTTCTCGGTATTAACCCACCCCGAGTATTTCACCAACTACTCAATATTTATTACAAGATAGCTTTCGCCCACGGTTAACAACAACCTGTGAAAATTAACGCTATGTTTGTTACGTAGAGTACCAACCTTCATGATAACAATGAAACACACTCTTGGAATGTGTGATCCAAGTAAAGTTAAAAAGTTGTATTATTATTTGTTTGTAAACAAATGGTAAGTTATTTTGTAATCCATCACCGACGTTCGGTAAAACTATTATTTTTGCAATCTTCATATTTGCTTAATTAGAAAAAATAGTAATAAATAATACGACATCAAAGGTACAAACAGTCTCGAATTAATTCTTGAGAGTAATTAATTTGCCAGTAACCAAGGTTTCTGTTTTTTCAGGGTAATATTTCGCAAATAACGCACGGTCATACACGGATACGAATCCGACAACATTCCTGAAAGTAATAATGGTGGTCAAGCTACTTCTCCGACCAGTCTAACAGGACACGTTTAATACAATGACTATATCTTGAAATATTTTAAAATAAAATATCACAAATACTTTATTACATAGAAATAGGTAAGTGCTCTTCACCTACAATTTATATGGTACTTTTTTTATTCCCTTTGCTCAATAAGAGTAATAAAACAGAAAAAGTATTTTATCAAACATAAATTCTAATAATGTTAATAAGTATTGGTTTGTCAAAAGGATACGATATTATATACAGAGTGTTTCCAAATATGTGGGATCATTGACGATCAAGTCTTCGCACAAATACAAATCGAAATATCCTTTACCGTTTTGCGATCTGAAGCTTCGTTATCGAGAAATAAGTAGTTGAAATTTACAAGTGACTCTCGGCGCGCGATCAGCTGATTGTAACTCGCACGGCGCGCGCCATTAGTCACATCTGTACATTTCAACTACTTATATTTCGACAACGAAGCCTTAGATCGCAAATTGGCAAAGGACTTTTCGATTTGTATTTTTATAAAGATTTGATCTTGAAAAAAGCACCTTCCGTTTGGAAGTTAAATATACATATACTTAATATTCAAGCATGAATTCTTCACCAACATTATCTCTTTCTCATTTCTTTTAGGTATTTGTAACACCTTCGACTGATAAATGAAAATAGAGAAACAAATCTGGTTATAAACTTACCCAACGTTCCTTGATTATTTTAAGCAAGTTATTTTCCGAGAAATGAAAAAGTAAAGAGCAAAAGAGAAAAATAGTGAAGATAGTAGAATATACAGGGTGTCCGAAAAGTCGGGGAGGAGCCGGAAATGGGAGGTAGCTGAGACGATTCTGAACAACAATTTCCTTTGCAAAAATGTCGGATGGGGCTTCGTTAAGGAGATATTAAGAGAAAACCCCGACCAATCAGAGCGCGCATAGACCGTTGGAGCGGCCGCGGTAGCGAAGGCTACGCGCTAGGCGACAGCGTCGATGTCCTTCGATGCACGTCGAGTCACTTGTTCGCGTACAAGCGCGGCCGCCAGCGCGTAAGCCTTCGCTACCGCGGCCGCTCCAACGGTCTACGCGCGCTCTGATTGGTCGGGGTTTTCGCTCAATATCTCCTTAACGAAGCCCCATCCGACATTTTTGCAAAGGAAATTGTTGTTCAGAATCGTCTCAGCTATCCCCCATTTCCGGCTCCTCCCCGACTTTTGGGACACCCTGTATACATATACATATCAATTCGGTCTATAGTGAAGAATAAAAATGAAAAAATGGATTTACTTACTTGACAGTTAATTGCCTTTGTATCAAGAGCTTCTTTTCAATTTGTTCAATGGGAAATTGCGGAACTTCGTAGGGGGCCGAAATTTCATTAGGCAATTCGTGTGGGGTATGCCTCAATGAAGTTGCACCACCTGTAGCCGCCGCATTACCTTCCAAACCAAAAACTGGACTTTCGCTTCCTGTAACGAAAGATATTACGGTTATAGTCATTGTTTTCTTCTGTTTTGATTGTACACTGTACATTTAAATATTTAAATATTTACATTCCTGCCACGAAATATGTATTAAGTTTCATGATTTATTTATCACTCTGAATTACATTACGGTGAGTCCTCCACTTTCCTCTCTAGTTAATTCGTTATAAAGATTTCTAAAAAGCTACTTTTGGTATACAATTTTAGTTCCAGATGGTATTTGAAATTGATTACGACTGTACGTATTTCTTTATGTAAAGAGAATTTGAAAAAAAAGGGAACTTTATTTAATATATAAATTCATGTGCATATGAAATATGTATAGACTATAAATTATTATAATAATCATCATTATTGCTGAGGTAATCGTTATTGAAATTGATAAGTCGTTATTAATTATATTTGTAATCTTCATCCGCACCAGACTGCGGATGTTTACGCACTTATGGCAAGTGAAAATATTGGAAAATAATGGACATGTTATACCGTGTAGAATATAATACACACATTCATTTAGCTTTCACTTGTTTGAGCATACAATTTGAAATAATATTCTTTATTTTCATTGCATTAGTATTATACAATAAATATTTGATCAATTAAAATCGTTTTTAGATTAATACTTATGTGATATGCTATCTAAGTAATAGATAACAAAGTATTACTTGAAATGGCAAAAAGACGATCGATAGGCTACCAGTCCGTGAAGTGTTAATTTGCATAAACTTCCGCAGTCTATTAATAACATTGCATTTTATGCAACACTTTTATTCGCCTAACTCGAGGATTAAACCGTACATTCGTTCAGATAATAATTCTTGTTACATAAATACTCTTAACAATGTTACATCCAGAATTACCATCGTTTTTTGCTTGCTCGGTTTTCTGCAACCATTCCGTCACCGAGTTCCGCTTATATCCAGTCAAGTATTCATTCTCGCTACCCAATACCATCTTCGAAATTTTGTCGGTCGTCTAAAAATATTTTCACAATTCGAATATCGAGTAAGTGTAGCTTTTCCGTTCCTGATTCGAGACTGTCGATCGTCTCTATCCCAATTGCGCTCAATTATAATTATCTGATACGATAACACGCTCGATACGATCGCGTTACTGTCGGCCGATGGACGGTATATAAATTTTCGAAAGGTTCAACGCATCTTTAAACCACGTTCGAGTGTCGAGACACAATTGCATCTTCGAATTTCTCAAAGTGCAATGTACCTTTAACAAAACACTGGCAACGTTTCAAACGAACCATACGTCTAACGACCGTTGCAAAATGAAATGTATAAAACGCATCGCTGAATCGAAACACTATTCGGATCACGTTAGTGTTGTATGTATAACAGATTGAAACCAAGTAACACGTTGATCGTCACATAAATGGGCGACAGGACTTTTCACCAAGGAACTAAACGAATTAATTCTGAGGATGAGATGTTAAAGAAAACAAATCTCCATAGGATTCGAGAATATGAAGAAGTTGCTAAAATAAATATTAGTTTAATGGTGTGTTCTGGCTTAACCGTTTCGAGAAAGCAATTTTTAAAAGATTGTATTTTTCAAGTCTTTAGAATATCTAAAAATATCCTGTAAAAGACATTTTTTTGATATCTTTAAAAGAAAACCATTGCTCTTTAAACGAAACACCCCGTGTATTTCAAACGAAATCGATTCACGTATTTATGTATTTACACATTACGGATTATGCATTTATGACATTTCCTAACACGGGAAACATGTATATCGAACGTATCTAAATTGCATGCGCTTACGTAACGAAGTTTTGCAGAAATACAAGTATGTAAAAACGAATGTAATTAAAGTAGTAGTTTATTTGAACACTTTATCTAACAGCTTATTTATAGACCTACTTATAGCCTATTTATAAGCTTTCGATTCCAGTATCTATCTCCAGGAACCTATTAACTGTGTTATTGGTTATATATTTGCAATGATCCATTTGAGGAAACAGATAAAGCTTTTGATATACTTATTAGAAGAGTGTTTAGGGATTAATGTCAGTCTAGATTAATATATACTAATACAAAAAATCCGTGACTAAGTGGTAGACTCTTCTAAATTGGCCAGTATTTAAAGTATCGATATCAAGATATTAAGCTATTGAATTATACAATTCTACGCTACAATGTGAATAGTAAAAGGACTTAACTTTCAGAAAGTTTAGTAGAATACTTAATAACACAAAATTATAGAATACTTAATAATGAACGAAAATAATTTATCTATATAAAAGAGCAATAGTTTGCTGTAACAATACAAAAAGTAGTAAACTCCAACAGAAAACCACTCCGAGGCCAAAAAACCCTTGCCAAGTCTTTGATCCAAAAACGTAGTTAAATCAGGTTAGATGCCACTAAGAATTGTCTTCATTAGTTTTGGTTTATTCGACAGTTTTCCTACTCATTTTGTTTGGCAACATGCCTTAGTATTACGGAAACCAAACCACTTAAATGTGATTCTAATACAAGTTTAACAGATAGCAAATAGAGGATACATTGCCAAAGTTAAAATTCATGCAAAATGAAATGGAAGCCATTCTTAATTCCAATAAATCATGTAAGAAGTGGTAATGAAAACACATTGAATAAATTTAATAAAAAGTTGCTGAAGATGATGAACACCATTGATAGTCCTTTCTTTATTTAACAATTTCATTGGATCATAACGTAATACAAACTTGATTGGCTCAGGCAGTAACCAAGCAGATAACCTTTGTTGATGACCTATGTATTCGTTTCATGTTTCATATGCTCACTATAAATGAAGTTAGAATAAAATATAGTAAAGAGAAAAGAGTAGATGAAAACGAATGAAAAGACAATTCAACAATTCAACAATTGTTGCATCACCAC